CAAGTCACTGTCAAAGCATCTCCAGAACTGTAGGTTTGTATAGGAAAGTTGTTATGAAATATAATATTAAAAATGTTTTATGTGGTGGGTTTCTTCAGTAAAAGTCAGCTATCCTGGAGTTATGAATTGAAGACTGTGATATGAGTCATTGGGCGTTTGATTTGTTAGTTCTCCAAGAAGGATAGATAGGAGACTCATTAAATATGTATTAATTCTACATTTTAGGGCATCCACAGGAAATACCTTTCTTACTACATAAGTCAGCTTTGTGAACAATGGGAGCAATTGTATTTTTCTGAAGCATCCGAGAAAGTGACCTCAGCTCTGCAGATAGTGTTTTTGAGTGGGATAAGATGTATTAGTGTCATTTTGGGTTCCATAAACTTGGGGCCTGACCATCTTGATATAGTCAAATTTGAGAGTAAAAGGTTACAATAACAAAAAGTTATTTGAATATATACTTTATCAGAAAAAACCTTTTAATTTTATAGCTTTTCACAGTAAATATTAAATGATACAAATTTTTATACTCCTCAAATTAATTATAGGCTTACTACTTTTCCTGCTTCTTCGTTTAATTTCTGGTTTGAGTATCCTATTTCCAAAAGACGTGGTAGAGCTTTCCTCAGAACAGATGTATGTATCATGAGCGTATTTCCAGATGCAGAAAATTGTTAACTGACCATACTCTGATGATTCATGGGTCTTCCTATGGAAAATATTTTTTTATTGCCATAGTTTTGGCACTAGCATAGCATTGGCCTCTTTAACCACCAGTGTGCTTGTAGCAAATGTGGGTAGAGTCCTTCCCAAATATTCGTTCGCGAAGCCCAGCCATGATTGAATTAGCAGAAACTATCAACTTAAATGGAGACCTTTCTCCTGTGGTAGGAGATGGCCTTGTTTCTATTTGTATCAAGCTTGTTCTTTTGTAGGTACTTGTGTTTGACGCTGGTCAGCAGTGGTGAACATCTCTTCCTTTTCAACACGGTGTGCCAGAGTGTTGTTATGCACTTGGTGTTAATTGGAAAGGAACATTTTCAGTGAAAATGTGTCCTACAATGTTATCTTATGATAAAGAGGTAGCTAAAACAAACAGTATTAATGTACTGTATCTGAACTTACTGTTCATTATGTGTTTGCATTTCTTTTCATGGAATTTATATTCTTATATGAAAATCTTAATGTCACTGCCACAGGGGTTTCCTCCACATTATCCATGAAGATTATGTGAGATCCTTATTTTATGATCTATTTCTTTCGAGTGTTATTACTGTTTGGAATGAAAAAATTAAAATAATGTTTCATGTCTTTTGACTAGTTCTTGAGCATATGGAATGCATTGCAGTGAAGTTTAATATGAAAATTAAGGAAATAAGTTGAAACATACTACCAATTATATCTTTAAAAGTATTTCAACCCTTAGAATATTTTATACATAATCAGAAAGCCTGAAGTCTTTACTAACTCTATTTTATAAAACCTCTCTGCTCTAACACATGATTGACATACTTCAGTAATGAGAGTAAAAACCTAACAAACAGAGCCAGGACTTGAGTCAAAGGCTGGTAATTTTATCTCTGTCCTGACTGCCATGACTTCATCATGAAATAAAATGACACACTGCTTCTAAAACTTAATATAAAGAGAACAGGGAAGGTCTGTGCATGAAATGAAAAAAACAAGGGCAGCAGCATCTGCGAGTAGAATCAAAATTCCTGTTGGATGCTGAGGGTTTACTGGGCAGGATAGCCCCATTTCCACAGTTTTAGAGGACTCATGCCAGATTTCTGTTGGCCAGTTCTTCTGACTGTAAGGGTTCATTCAGCTTGTGCCTCTCTGTTCCTCTCAGCCCTGTTCAGAGAGCTGAACTGAGATGTTGACACAGTGTGTGTGTGTATGTGACCTAGGGCTGCATTGAGCTCTTGCACTTTACCCACAACATGTACAGTTTGTGCTGGATCGAACACAGTCTGACCATGATTGTCAAATGTTTCAGATTCAGAAGATCTTAGGAAACATAAAACCAATGTAAACACGTAGAAAAGTGAGAATTGGCTTTTACAGCTAGATGGTGACAGAATATTTTGTAGTAGCTGAAGCCTTGTTTTCCTTCTAAATGTTGAGAGGAAAGAACAATGTACACTGTTCTTAGCCCTGGATTGATTGATTTCCATTGAATAGTTAAAGAGCTAGTGGTCCCTCTTCTGGAACTAAGTTAGCTCAGCCTGTGGCATAGTATGTGCCCTTCGGTTTTGTTTTGTACAGCTTCTAAGCTAATTTTCTCTTGACCTGTATGATAAGGTTACTTAAAAGTGAAACATAGATTTCGTAGGGAAAATTTCAAGGTCCAAAATTAACACAATTGAAATATAAACTTTAGAATGATATGAACATAACCTATTTTCTGCAAAATGAACTTGATATTTCAAAACATATCTTTCAAAATTTCAAAATTTTAACCTTTCCCAGTAAAGAGGGAGTTTTTGTGCTTCCCTTGTAACACGAGTCCACACAAATGGAGAAAAGGATGCAAGGAAGCGGGCATGTAAAGGAACTCACCAAGGTGAGTTGTCTATGCATCGTGTAGATAGGTGTTCTGCACAGTGTGAATTGAAATTTTTGGAAATAGGATTGTTTTCAAATGAAAATGTTCTATATTTATAATTCTCTGGTTCAGTGTTAGACAATTCCTTTCATTTAATGAGTATCTTAAATATAGAAAGTTTTACAGATCATCTTAATCAGGATTTTTAGACCTCTTCCCAAAATGCTGGTTCAGCATTCAATACTGAATGCTGTGTATTTCCCTTATGCTTGTCTGCACAGACAGGTCCCTTCATTTCAATTATGTTGTTATAATTAAAGTGAGGCTGAAGTTATATTTATTTTTCCAATTCCTTTACTTTTTGGAGAGTAAAATAAATTAGCCTTGCATAGTGCTTTATTGAAAGACTGGAATATCTATGTGAGTACTATTCTACTAGTGAATTAATTACAACCTTTTTATCTGCTTTTGATTTTGTTCATAAAATGGTTATAAGGGAAGAACTTTTCAATGTTAAACAAGCCTTAAAAATGTCTTTCTCCTATTCACTATTTCCCCCCCACCCCATGCATAGTCAGTTTTTTCTGGACAGGGTCACGCAGTTCTCTCCTGTGTTGTTTTTATTTTCCTCAGGCACACCCTTCTGTGTTGCTCTTGGGTCAGCATCTTCTTCTACATCTATTGATCATATGAACATGGATGTCACACTACAATTTCAGAGATCTTTCTGGTTTATGATAATGATGTGCTATGAGAAAAAGGCAGAAGTGTTGATCAATAGATGCACTAATTAAAAGAGCAATGAAGTCCATTTCAGTTAAAAAGTTTTAAACCAGACACACTTTGATATATGTCTTCTCCTCTCCAAGTCATAACTAATAGTGCTACTTTGCTGAGCCCAGTATGGATGAAGATGTCCATGTAAGACACATCTTAGCAAAATCTTTGCCATGATGTTTTTCTAAGAACAGATGTAGTACTAGACCTTGTCTGCTTCACAGGGAACTTGACACTTCTGATCTTCTGGCATTGTCTTGCCTCCCCCCCCCCATTTTTTATTTTTATTTATCTTTATTTATCTTTATTACAGATTCAGATCAAAATTCAAGGAGTTTTTGAATCAAAATATTCACAACTGACACATAAACCAAAGCCCCTAAGCAAAGACACTCTTTGGCACTCTCAATAATATTAAGGCCCCATACACCAACATTTCAGGTAAAAAATGCTTTTTGGAGCAGTCAGGAAAGCTTGGTGAGAGCAATTAATCCTACACATTTAATTTTCTTTGGAGATTTTAAATGTAAACAGAAGGCAACATCATTCCATAGATCTGAATCACCTCTGTTGCAGACCACACGTGGTCATTCTCCCAATACACACACGTGTGCACTAGCTTGTGCATCCACTCAGATTGAAGGTGGACTTCAGGAAGGCACCTTGTGTGTTACACAAGCCAGTCCTTTCGTCCCTGCTGCACGATGAGGTATTCACCAAGATCTGTGGAGAAACTCTGCAAAGTTCTCCTACTCTTAGTCTCCAGTAGTAAGAATTGTGAAATGGCAGTAGAGCTTGCTCTTGCATGTTCTGAGAAGTCTCTCTTTCTGCTGACTTGAAAGGAGTCAATGCAGTCTGGCTTGCTATCTTGGGTATCTCAAGTTGAACAGCAACCAAAGCTCCTGCTTTGCAGGAATATTTCTGTTAAAAGATGAGTTCTTGGCATATTTTAAGACTTTCTAAGAAAAAGATAGATGCTCTCTTCTATAGCTAAGCGATGAAGGTAACTAGTAAGTCTATAAAGTTGAACTCTAGCCAATTCAGTTCATTCTTCATCTCAACGTGAAACTCAAATACTTTCTGTTTCTTTACAGAAAGTTTCTTTCTTCAGCTTTACATAATGAAAAAAATGTTAACATCTAAAGGCTTAAAAAACCCAGGCACCTAAAAAGAATGAACTTTGGAACATTTTTTTGTTTAAGAAATTAGAAGAAAGCAGAATGAAGGGGTTCCGTCCCAACCAAAATTATAGGTTTTGAACTGTTTGTAAGAAATAACCATCTCACTGCCTGGAGCCCTGGCAGTCTCAAACCCATGTTTGTGAGGGTGGGAGTGAAACAATGCTACCTTCTCTTGCAAGGCCTGGCAATTAAAAGAAAGTTTGGAACTACTGATGGAGACAACTTGGAAACATGGTAGCTGGTGAACCAGTTATTTCTGCTGGTGACCAAGACTCAAAAGAAAATAAGAGGATTTTGATGATGAAAAGAAAAACCTTCCACAGTTTTCCTGATTTTAGTTGTGCAGTTGTTGACATGCTCTAGGTTTTAATAAATGAAGGTGGGTTTTTTTCTGCTCTTAATAAAGTTGTAGATATTTCCTCATTAAAAAAACCAAACCAAACAGAACAGTTTTATCTTCATATAGTGAAATAATTCCATTTAACTTTCTATAGGGTTGGCCTTTGCTGCTCTGTCTTCAGTCCATCCAGTTTTTGGTCTATATGGCTCTTTCTTCCCAGTCATAGTTTATGCCATATTTGGAATGGGACGACATGTTGCAACAGGTAAGTATCTATTTCCTAAAAACCTTTTCAAAAATAAAAAACTGGAAATTGAACTTCTTTTGTTTTAAGATCAATGGAAGGAAAATATCATCTATGACTAAACATCAAACTATGTTTTTGTGCTTCTTTTTACACCTATTTTTTGTCAGTTTAAGTACTTTAAAGAGCCTCATTAAGAATATATTGGAGTTACTTCTGCCATTATAATTTAAAATTGGATTGACACTTCTTTTGTAAGTGTAACTTATTAAGAGTTTCTGTGTTTTAACTCTGCTCTAGAAATCTGCTTCAGGCTAAGATTTTAACAAAGGGCTCTGCCAACAAGATATATGCAAATGGGACTGAAAAAGGCTCGATTGCCTCTTAAACCATAGAAAACACATTACTTCTCAACTGTCTAAACCACAAATCCTGCATTTTTCAGGAAAAAAAAAAGGCTTTTTGTGCCTATTACTTGCTATTGTGTTAAAGCTGGAGACTCTCCCAGTGAGGGCTGCTGTCCACACTTGTAGACTGGTTAGGTAGGTAGTGAAAGGTGCTCCCTGGCTACTATGCTGGTAGTTATTAGTTACTTGTTTACCTTCAGCAGTCACAGCAGCTGCAAGAATTGAATGGCTTTGATCTCCTAGGTTAGGCTGGTTAATGCTCTGTTTCTGATCCCAAAGAAACTAAATTATATGTGGAAGCTGGAAATAGTACTCATTACGTTGAACCACAAACTGTTTACCATGCAGAAGTTGGCACCTGGTGGCCTCTGAAGTTTACAACTAGGATGAGACAGGCCCAGTAGTAACACACATCATGACTGGGTAAAGGGAAGCAGCCTCTGTGGCTGTCGGAAGGTTTAAGGAGGAGGAGGAGGGATGTTTTCCTTAAGGAGGAGAAAAAGTCCTGAAAGGAGAAAAGATGGTTGTGGGTAATCACACACAAAATGAACTCTGCAGAATCTCATTGCTCTCATGTATGCAATGTTTTAGTAAGCAGTTAGCAACATATTTTTTAGCACCTTTTTTGATCAAAAACATTCAGTTAAATTACAAAAAAAAGAAAAATCTAACCAGCTGTAAATTGTCTTAGAGCAAAAGTGAAGCTGAAAGTTTGTTTTCCCTAGATACGCAAAAAGTATTTGAACCTTGTGATGTTCGAAAAAGATCTGTGGATGCTGTTAGTGTCCTAATGTTGTAATGACTGTACTCAGCCCATGTGAAAAAGAGAAGCATTTGAAAAGAAGTGAAAATTTAGAATTTGGAAAATTAATTTTACTCTTGAGTACAGACAGATTAGTACACTTACTAAAACATGAACCTATATAAAAAACTATATTAACAAGTGTTGTCAGAAGTTTGTTGGTGTAAGATTATTAGGAAGACAAGAATCCATCATATGTAGCAAAGCAGATAAGTAAGTATCTGGCTGGCATAAATTCTAGTAATTAAAAAAGATGATAAAATAGGTAGGTACAAGCTGTTAAGTCTGATGTTTTATTCTTGGGAGGGAATGATGTTCAGAGAATGACTTGCTTAGTCCCACAGCTTCATGTCTGCAGATTTCTGCATGGTCACTGGTGTGGAAACCTATTCCTTCACTGATATCTATTACAGAATTTAATTTTAATCAAAAAAGGGCAGCAAAACAGTTCTCTTGCAGTAATGAAGATTTTTTTTAAAATTAATAAATTTGTGTGACATATGTTGTCAATCATTTCAGCAGAAAAGTCTCATGCACTCCTCCCACCACTCGGTTGAGCTGTTGAGCTGTGTAGGCTGAACTGGAGCTATACTGCCTGCCTCAGTTTCCCAAATGTTCCATAATTCCTTGTGGGCACTGAAGACAATCTCTTCACCTATCAGCATTTTCTGTAAGATCTGTGGTGCTCTCCATATATACACAGGCTATAAAAGTGTCCTTTGTTAGTGAGGTCAGTCATGTTAATATGAAATGGAAAATTCATCAGTGGCCCAGTTCTGTCAGCTTTTACTCACTTTAAATGTCTCTTCTTTGAGATGGCTGATCTACTTTAAAAGATTATACACCTGAGCGACAAACACCTACACCTTTTCCTTCACTGTTTGTGATATGATTGATTTTGAAGCATCCTCTGAGACAACTTCATCCGTCATAATAACACCTTTAGGTCTTTGATTTAAGACAGAATTTTATGTAAACTGTTTTCAAATTCAATTTTATGTAAACTGAATTTTTTTAAGTAAAAATGAGAGAACAGGCTTAAAAGAAAAAAAAAAGCAATCTGAAAACCAAAATATTTACAGCTATCCTGTTGCTTGAAAAAAATGTATTTTTGGCCTAGATAAAAAAAAGAAAATGTAATCAAAATAAACTCCATCATGGTTTGATGGGAAAAATTAAAGGGACTCTCCTGAGAAACAGTTCGCCACTTGAAAAATGGAAAGCTTGGCCATATGAGGTGGGCAGGAAAGTGATGAAATGTGACAGGTCAAACATATGCAGGAACATTAAGGGGCTAAAAAAAAAAAATTAAAGTATTCCGTGGAGAGTATGATCAAACTGGTAGTTAAAGTTTCTTTAAATCCTCCAAAATCAAGACAGTGAGAAGTAAACTGGTGGCATATCTTTCTGGCAGAGGTGTAGTTAGGACATTCTGTGACAAGGCCACAGGATTGTCAAGTTGTCAGTGTAATTTCATTGTCATAAGGGCTCTGCGGGGAATGCTGGGAATGTCAGACCTGTTGGTAATAAAAATAAAAATACTGAATCACAGAATCTTAGAATCACAGGATGGCTTGTGTTGGAAGGGACCTTAAAGATCATCTAGTTCCAACACTCCTCTCATGGGCGGGGACACCTTTCACTAGACCAGGTTGCTCAGTGCCCCATCCAATCTGGCCTTGAACACTTCTAGGGATGGGGTGAAAAAAGATATGTATAATCGGAGTCTGTTGGAGAGGAGTTAATATGACTTCTGTAAAGGAAAATCCTACCTCTCTAACCTCCAAGGGTATGTATGAGTGTCAATAAGCACATGAAGAAAGGAAATACTTTGAATATACGATATCAAAATGGTCAAACAGCTACTGATAAGGTTCCACACCAAAGGTCACTAAAGAAACTAAGTTGTCCTTGTGATAGAAGAAAAGTCCTTTTATTAATTATTAGTAGATTAAAGGTTAAGAAGCAAAAGGCAGGACTTCATGGCCATTTTTCAGGGTGGTGGTGTTCCTGGTAGGTTCCCAAGGAATTCATGCTGGGAATCCTGGGCCTTTATGAAGGCCACAGTGAAGGTAGCACTTTGTTCACTGGGTCCTGTAACAGTAGAATAAAGGTGAGTTCAATGAGATATAATTTTAAAAGACTTTTAAAGTATAGATTAAATAAAACAGTACAGCAGACAGTGAACTTCTGGAACCCGCTCTCAGAGGACATTGTGGAGGGAGAAATTACAAGCAGGTTGAAACAAACCTTTGACAAATTCATGAACTAGTCCACAAAGTCAAAAAGGGCCAGGTAAGGATGTACTTTAACACAACAGCTATGGATGCTGGCAATAAGGGCAATGGCCTGCAGAAAATGGCCAGGCTTGTGTGCTTTTCCTGGGTAACACCTCTGACTGTCACGGCTGGAGGCAGAGTACTGGGCAAGATGGACAGTTGATCTGACATGGTAAGACATCTCTTATGCTCCTATAGCTCTTCATGAATGTGTTTGTGCTTATTAAGCTATTAGAGGGTGTCCAAAGGAGGGCAACAAAGTTGGTGAAGGGCCTTGAGGAGAAGCTCTTTGAGGGGTGGCTGAGGGCACTTGGTGTGTTCAGCCTGGAGAAGAGGAGACTGAGGGGAGATCTCATTGCAGTTACAACCTCCTCTTGAGGGGAAGAGCAGGGGCAGACACTGGCCTCTTCTCTGTGGTGGCCAGTGACAGGACCTGAGGGAATGGTCTGAAGTTGTGTCAAGGAAGGTTTATGTTGGATATTAGGAAAAGGTTCCTCACCCAGAGGGTGATTGGGTGCTGGAACATGCTCCTCTGGGGAAGTGGTCACAGCACCAAGCCTGACAGAGTTCAAGAAGCATTTGGACAATGCCCTTGGGCACATGGTGTGACTCTTGGGGATGGTCCTATGCAGGGCTAAGGGTTAGACTTTTATGATCCTTGTGGATCCCTTCCAATTCGGCATATTCTGTGATTCTGTAATTCTGTGATTTATCTGAGTGTCCGTAAACTTGCTTTATCTCAGCTGCTAAATGTTTCTCTCATAATGTGCCTCCATTTATTAGAATGCTAGGTGCTATGAAATGGGCTAGGTACCATATGTATATCATAAATTAATTGCCCTAGAAATCTGGTTCATGAACACTTGGGATTCTCAGACAAATAACTGTTTGGTCATGTCCAGGGTGAGTTAAAAGCATTTCTGATAACTTGAAATAGTTGTAAATTGTTGTATTTGAATCTCTTTTGTAAACATGTCTAAATGAATGTGCTCAAAAAATTACATTTAATTCACCTGTAAAAATGGTATTTTACAGGAAGAAATATGTGTTAAATAGAAAAATTACTTTAAAAATTGTTCTTATCATGACAGAAATGTACAAAATGGTACCTTTAGTCATAATGGCCAAGTTTTGAAAAAGAGACCATGAGTGATGAGTACATACAGATATAAAATTATTTTTCACTGATTTGTGGCTTTTTTTATAGGAACTTTTGCTTTAACTTCCTTAATATCTGCCAATGCAGTTGAACGTCTTGTTCCTTCAGTCACCACTAATTTCACTGCAAACAATAATTCAGGAATTTTGGGCTTATCGGAGTTTGAAATGCAAAGGATTGGAGTTGCAGCAGCAGTTTCATTTCTAGGAGGAATCATTCAGGTTGGTAGAGGTCTCACGTTTACTCATGCACTACCTTTGTGACAGCTGTGACATTTGTAATACTTTTATTTTTCTCACTTCTCTGAGAACAACTGATGAAAACATCTGGTCTGATGGTCATGAACGATGAAACTAATGTGTTTTAAGAATTTGCTGCTCCTTTGTTGAGGTGTAGTAATTATCTGTATACATGCTGCTAGTGTGTTACAATATGAAGTAAAACCACATTCAATCAGCTCTAATATAATGCTTAGTTGCTGTTGGTGCCCCTTTTTCTTCCCCTTCAGAAAAAAGACATGAATCAGCTCCTGGGAAGCACTGACATATTCCTTTGGATTTCTGTTGCTCTTGGCTTTAAGAGAAATAGTATACAATATCCAATGATTAAAAACAGCAGGGAAAATGTTTAAATTCTCTCCAGGGTTTACACACCCATCATTAAAATGAAATAGTAAAACAGATGCCTTTGTATGATTCTCCAAAGCTTATTCAAATGATCAGAGGTCTTTTAAATTTCTTCTTTTTTCTTATTCTGACTGCAAGTGCTGAGTTGCTTTATCCACTGCCAGTTGCTTAGATCTTCAAGAAGGCTTCTCTCTTTCCTTGTAAGTATTAAAATGGAGGAAATGTTCCAGCATGCAAAATTGCAACACCTCCTGGGTACCTGGCCTCCTGAAAGAAACCCAGACTCCTGCCCTTGTTGCTTTGGATCCCTCTACCATGCAGAAGATGAGCAAAGAAGCCCAGGGCATCTCCAGTGGCCTGCATGCTTGGCAGGAACGGGGCATATCCTTATGCTAGTCAGTAGGAAATATCAAGAAGCATGACAATTTCTGTTGTATTTTTACTATTCTTTTATTGGATACAGGATTATGCTGTATGGTAGCAGCATGAGGGAAAGCCTGTGGACAATATACAAGGTAGAACTGGTGCTGATTGTGCCTGGCTGTGCATGCACGTGCTGTCTCATTGCACCAGTATGTGCAGTACAGCACTGCATCTTGTACAGTGTGCTTGTAAGAGCAGAGCATGCACAGAGCTCTTTGCATGGGAATCCTGTGCTCACAGCTTGGAAATCTCCTACATTATCCCCAGAGAGGCCAGAATGCTTCAAGCAGGAAGTTGGTGCCTGCATTCATTTGATCTAACTTCAAAATCCAATGCAGAAATTTTTTGCTTAGTGGATGGAGAATCCCGTTAGGTGTGTAAATCCTCTAGACCTCTTACTCTTTCATATTGAAAAGTTCTGCTTTTTCATATACCTTCAATTGCATCAGCTGACTTAGCCTATGTCCTGTTTAAGCTTGATTGAAATGAGAACAACTAAATCCTCTGCCTACATCTTCAAAGCAGGTCTGATAGGGAACTGTGCCACGTGCATGGGCTCCTCTCCCAGGTCAGTAATGTCACTTGCATTGGAGTCATGCTAGCACAACCACAGTTTAATGGTTAAACTCACATAAATGGTTTAATTAAAATACTTATTTCCTAGAGAAGTGCCTTGAAGCTCTTAATAATGCAATATGCAAGTGAAAGTCTGGATCAAGGCTGAGATTAAATTGTGCCATCTTCCCAGGTGCTGTTAAGTGTGGGAATCTATGTTTCTCATCATGATTCCAGTCTGACTAACAGTTCCTGCAATTCCCAGATAAGATGACAGGGCACATCTTGCTGTTAATGGAGAGCTGTCAGTGACCTGCATCTAGTTATCAGATTAGACTAGAAATTATTTAATAGCCTGGAGTAAATGTATATCTGGGACAAGAGAAATAGTGTGATGCATTTGGGGGCAAGAGTTTTCCACTGAAGACATCCTAAAATACAGAAAGAAACTGAATTGTCATTGTAGCTGGTATTTGGGATGGTACTTCTCTGGAAAGGGAGCAGACCTGGGCTTTGGTATCTATTATGACTTGTTATTCTGAAAAAAAACAGTCAAAATGCAGTGCTCTAATCAGCACAAAAATCTAATTTCGCAAAAACAACTGATGCTGTGATTATTCCATACCGTGGTCAACCTCCATATGTAGGATGAAAAGTCCCTGTCCAAAACAGCTGATTCCTTCTATGAAAGAGTAGGTAAAGACCTGAATGTCCTTGGCCTGAAAAGCAATTTGGTACTATTTTTTCAGTAGCCTGGCTAAGTACTCTAATCAGCAATTAATGTCAAAGAAAAAAAAGGAAAAACATACAAAATACTGAGTCATGGAGGGAAAGCAAAGGGTAGAGATGTGTTTTTGAAATGATCTGCTGTTGGCTGCTGTATGTTTTGTGCAGACCGTAACTGTGCATTTGTGTGTGAGGCAAGCTCTGAGCAAGCTTTGTGAATCTCAGTGCCATCTAGACATGAATAAATTAGAACTGTTTTCTCATCATCAGGTGAAGCTTATGAGATTTGAAATTTGGTGCTTAGTTGCTTAAATTTTTTTCAAGTAATAAATTTCAGAGTCCTAAACAGCTTTTTAAATATAATGTTTGAGGGACTGTTTATAAAAGACGAAAGATATTTAGTCATCTTAAGAGGCTTCTGATGAGGATAAAATAGTATTAAAATAGAAAATAAGTAAATGTAAAATAAAAACTGTAATTACAAAAAATAATATAATGAATTTACTATTTCATTTTTTAAAAGTAGAAAAGAAGGAATAATGAAAATTTTTTCCTATATTTGTGTAGCTCCTACTCTATTAAGATAAACAGGGCATGGAAAACTAGTCAAGTTAATAGAATTCTTTCCTGATATTAAATACATCAGATGTATTGATGGAGATGTATTGGGGAGAGGAAGTGAAGGAACATAACAGATGCCTACAGGATAATTTTGTAATTAAAATTGGATGATGCCTTTATAACATTAAAAAAACTCAAAAAAGCTTTTGGATAAGATTTTTTCCCCCTATTAATATATTATATGTGCAAGAATGCTTGCATAAATATATGTGTCTATAAAAGAACCTCAGCATACTAAACTGAAATTCAACATGAAGATTTGCTAATAGAGGAAAGCTGCTTGCAGATCAAAATGAGAAAAAATAATTTTTATCCTACAAAAAAATTTTTATTCTCTTAAGACCACAGTGTTACAGAGTTCAGCTGTGCTACTCTTCTGTAAATGAGAAATAGCTGCTCATTGCATTCCAGTCTTCTACATTTTCACTAGTAAGTTTTTCAACTGCTGTATTTTGAAAACTAACATGTAATTAGTTGCTGATATAAAGTATTTGAAATAAAAATGTTTCTAGTTATCAGGAGAACAAATTTACATGGTATATTATCAGTTTACTTAACAAAAAAGGAGCACATTTGAATATGAAGGGTGTTTTTGTAAGGCTAATATTCTTGTCCAAAACTTTTCTTCCCTGTGGGGAATGTTATGTTGCTCTATTCTATGTTACACATAATTTTTCATGAGATTATAACATGAGTCTATTATAAATGATAATCAGGAAAACAGTTAATTTTTCTTTTACAGTGGAAATAACTTCTTGCAGGTTCATATTCTGTATCTTGAAAACTACAAGTAGGCTAGGTGGGACATCTGGTTCCTACAATTATGGTGCAGCATACAATGTGTTAGTACAGAAAAACCATAGAAAGAAGACTTTTTCAGGTCCTGGAGTGTGGAAAGATCACCTTCCACACCATCAGAAGCTACCAGACACTCTTGAGACACCCATAATGAACATGAGAGTTGCAATGCAAAAGACCAAAAGCTCACAATTAAATGTCTATTGAAACAGGCTGAGAAGAGTTTTAAACATTGCTCAGTGAAGCTGAACTGCCCACGTCTGACTGTTTTCTCTGCATGGTCCATAGATGTCTTGATTTTTGCAACCTCTGACTTTGAGATAACCAGTACAATGTACTAAATGAGAGTCTCACACTCTGTAGTGTTTCCCTCCAAGAGATGTTCCCCATTCCTGACCTTGTCTTCTCAGCCCATACAGCAAATCATCAGAAAGGGTACCACCACTTTTATTTGCTATAACAGTGAAAAAACCTTCCAGGACAGTGGAGTTTTAAGAGCTTTAAAATTCATTCTCCAAAACTGAATTTGTGCAGCAGGTAATATGATATCAGCCTTTCAATTACTCTCAACAGAAAGTTTGATATTAGTAATTTTCAGAGAGCTGTTAAGTGATAAAAATTTTTACTGACCATGAAGTTAAATTGACTACATGTTGAATGGAATTTTAATAATAATAATTTTAATAATAATAAACTGAGTGTGTTGTCATGGGAAGAAAATATTGAAAGTGGACAAGAATCAAAAGGGCTTGAATTTGCTTTTTGCAACTGCTCATTTTTCTTCTCCTGGCTAAATCCCCATTCTCTTCTACTTGTTGGAGTAAAATTATGGAGCAGTAAAGACAGCTGCAAGAAAAGGTTCCATTTGTATTATCTTTCTTTCATCTTGAAATTTCCTTTTTTTTTTCTATAATTTTTTTTCTTAGAAATCACATCATCCACCACTTTTACCTAATTATCTGGTTGTATAACTTGTTTCCATGATCTCTTTTCCTTTACTGTGCATTCAAGGCTACTTTCTCTCACTTTCTCTTGTGGTTTTTTTTTTCCCTCTAGCAGCTCTTATTTTCATTTACATGAATTTAATCAAAAATGCATACCTGGTGAAAGCAAATTGTCTAACACAAACCATACTCATGGTTTGGATGTATTTTACATAACCCACAGTTATTAGCAAACAATAAAAAGTATATTTGAAGTGTGATCTTTTAGTTACTATCTGTAAAGCAATCTCTTAAAATGCTGAAGATAAAAAAAAAGTAAAGAACCAAAAAATAAATCTGAGAGTGATGCTGAAGTTTCTAAGTTCAGCAATTATGACACCATTTTCCTTTAAATCACAATAATAACTTTCTCTGAAATGCTAATAGTAACTAACACTTCTGTGTGATATTAGGTAGTTCAAAGAATTGTCTCTAATTCCATGGCTAAATAAACATACATCTAATTCTCTGTAAACTAAGCTATTACCCAGTTAGAAATATCACCTTCATACAATAGAAACTGATCTTAGAAAACAAACAAAAATTCACCAGGGAAGGAAGAACTTAATTCTTATTCAACATCATTACTGTGAACAGTGTTTTAAATATCTTAGTAGGCAGACTGTTAGAACAAACAGCTAAACAAAATATCTGAAGTTAGTAATTATCAGTTTTAGGCCTGACTAACTAAATTACTACTCACTGAGAGTATAACAGTAATTATCATTATTGGAGTCCAATCTTGAACAGCAATCAATGTTCCAATTGCACGTGATACAGAGCAATTTACATGCTATTAGTGGGAAATAGAAAAAAAATCTCAGATTTAATTGCTCAGATGGAAGAGGAAATTGCTCACAAGAGATTTTTGTGGTAAATTAAAATCCACTTTGGTATTTTTGTTTCTTTTTGGGTACTATGCTCATAGCTCACTGCATACAGGTGAATTTTATGGTGAAAAAATAAATAGTGTTCAAGCATCAAGAATGCTAACATTTGGAAGTGATACTTTTAGCTTCAGAACACAAAAAAAAAGCAAAGGACACTGTGATATATTCCAAAATGATGATATTTAGTGTGGTAAACACAAAATAATCCTCTTAGACGGTATTGTAAGAAACAACTATGTGCCAAGAGCATGTAACTTCAGGCAGAAGAACAGCAAATGCAAGACCATAGAAGTAAGAAACTGCAAAATTCATTGTAAGGGGAGAAAATGTAAATAATTTAACGTGTCAGAAAAAAGTTAGGCATTATGTAAACTACAGTAGCAGCTGTAGTCACGTAACAACTTTATTCAAAGAATTAACAGCTCTCAAATCTCATACCTCAGAGGAAAAGAATGTTTGAAGTCTGGGATAAGGGGAGAAAAGAGTTGAGCCCAATGGTGCTTTGAATATTTGTCCTGTATTCCTATGAAGTATCTGCAATAGTTGTAGGTTCTGCTGTAGTTCAGATTCCTGGATTAGAGGTCTCTCCATGAGACTCTCCATACCACTTCATAAATTTGGCAATTACTGTTGGAATTACTAATGTTGGGAATCTTGATATCAAGATGATGGCAATCAGTAAGCTGGATGAAGATAACGATCCTTTGCCTACTCAGGCTGGATAGCAGTGAAGCAGGAATGAGTCTTAACACCACCCTCACTTTTTAAGTTGCTTTACTTCCTTTTGCTGTGTTGAACTGATGTTTTCATGGTGTTGATTGTGCTCATATATTTGAACAGGAGAGAATACTAAGAGTTTCTCTGAGTGCGATTTTGTTACTAAACTGATGTTAGAATCTGGTAAATTAGTGGTGCAAGTAAAATAGTGCAGGTAAACCCAGAGAGCTTCAGTGGATTCCATTTTCAGCTATATTTGTCCTTCAAAGACTTTTGCTTTTTATCCTCAGCTCTTTTATCTTAAAATATATTAAAAGAACCGTGGCTCATTGTCCTATCACCAAGATGGTGCACTGTATTATAACTGCTGATACTCCTGCCTTTGTCCTTTAGGTAGCAATGTTTATGCTGCAGCTGGGCAGAGCCACGTTCTTGTTAACAGAGCCAGTAATAAGCGCGATGACAACAGGAGCAGCTACACACGTTGTGACTTCACAAGTGAAGTATCTGCTGGGAATGAAAATGCCATATATATCGGGACCACTGGGATTTTTTCATGTGAGTTCAGTGAAAGAGATGGGTTACTTCATTAGCTAACATTTTATTAAATAACTACGCTATATGCTATATAAAGAGTAAGAAATTTGTTATGCACATGTGTGAATGAGCACAAGATGAACCTTCATCTTGCTTTGTCTGTTTGCAAGAATGGATTTGGAAAACTTGATGAAGAACTAGCAGAAATGGGTCTTATTTTAAAAGGATACAGTAATCAATTTCAAAGAAATATATGTGTTAAACCTGACGGTCATTATGGTAAAAGGAAATTGGCCCATGATTTGTGGATCTCCTATGCAAAAATTACCCAAAATATGTTACTTATTGCCTTATGACATGATAAACACAGCAAGTGGATAGTTTTAAGGTAATGTTTATAAATTTCATTCAGCATTTCATGCAGTAATGTTCCCGTGAGTGGTTAAGCTGCTTAAAGGATCACCATCAAAGGTACTGGCAAAAAATCAGGTTTTAATATGAACTTATGGAAGAGTGACTAACAGAGTTCAATGGCAAGTTTCACTCTATTAGTTATTCCATGGATGAACCATACATAGGAAAATTGCATTAGAATCAATTTAGAATGGTTTACATGGAGACTGAGGATGAAACAGGGTAAGGATACGGATACAAAAAGATAAGGTGTGCAAAAGGGCTGAACAGCACCTCATTATTGATCAATTTAGCATTTACAAAGTGATTAAATAGAACTTGCTATAATTATAACAGTGACCTAATTATAGCTTCACAATAACATTCACACCATGATCATTTCACACTCACAGACACAGGCAAAGATGTATACATCTATTTCTGTGCATGTACAGGTACCTGTCAAAAATTCCCTTCAAGTTCAGTGAAATACTAACAGCAAATACTGCAGTGTTTCTCAACAGGCATGGGTTGCACCCCAAGGTGTGGGGGTGTGGGGGTGGGTGTGTGTGTGTGTGTGTGTGTACCAGCCCAGGCCTCGTCCTAACCGATAGTCTTTCAAGTATTGCAGACTTGAAGGTTGATGAGGGTTGAAGAGGTGCCCATGATCCCAGAGGGAGGTGCTGGCACAGTCCACTGTGGCCCAGGAGGGCTCAGATGGCCTCTGACTTAAGACATCTGTGTTTAGGTTCACAAGATGATTTGTTTTAGTCATTAATCAATTCCTATGCTGGCACTAACTCAAATCAATAATTAATGAAATTATTCAAAAGTCTAGTAACAATGGTAACATTCTATCAGTAAGCTTCCACCTGGGCCATAACCCAGGTTGGTAACTATGGGAGTTTCCAAAACATTTGGAAATTGTTTCCAAAACTCAAGCAACAATGGTGCTGTTCCACCTGGGCTACAATTCAGGTAGGGTATGTCCCAAGGCTGTCAGGGAATGACTGATTATCGTTTGTTCCCTGCTTTGGTCAGACAGCTGAATTTGCTGCCACAGTGTTTTTCCCACCTGTGTCATGCATGAGCACCTGGTACAGTCAAGGACACTTCACCACCCAGCTGGTTTGGTCAACGCTGAGATCGTAGGGCTGGCCCAAGGGTGCAGGGTGATGCACCACCCCAAGTATCATGGTTACTGCCTTTGGAAAGTACATATTGCTGGCTGAAAAGTTAAAGAGCAAAACATATTCTTGATGGTAACTTATTCCATCAAGCTCTGAGTTTAGATGCTGTGAGCATAATCTCTTGGCATTAGTAATATTACAACAGTAGCTGCCAAAAAGACATTTTTCTCATAATAAAACTTTACTTACTTGTTGAGGTGATACTTACATTGCACTGATAGTGAGGCTTCATTTAGTTAGCCACTAAATCAGGACACCTTATTTAAAAGCACTGACTGTATCTTCCTGCCCTGCTATGTGCTTTATTTTTTGCTATTATTTTGAGAAATTTGTTAATGGGAAATCTCTGATAAGAAAATGTTGCTTTTTAGAATGGTTTTTCATAGTATTTTATAAATTTGATAATTTTTGTATGGATAATTCATTAATAAGTTTTTTACAGGACCAATTCATTAATGAAAATTAGGGACATGTAATAAACACAAGCAATTTATCTTGTAGGGGTATAGCCAGAAGTATCATAGCCATTTTTATGAGTTGGCTTGTGAAACTATTACAAATTATTCATCATATATTAAATTTTTTTTAATTCATAAATAATTCTTAATATAAAACGTGACTAGCCTCTTTTACATGGTGTTTCCATCGAGACTATACTTACATATAGGAATATTGTCATCTTGTACACATGAGTGGTGTTAAGTACCACAGCCAAAACATAATCAAAGTATACATTATGAGCAATAATAAAGAACAGCAGTGATATGAAGAAATAATTCCGTGTTGGTGTGCTGATGATATCATAAATGAGGTCATTCAAATGCTTTGAAAGAAATCTATTCCCTTATCGCCTGTATTTTTTAATGTATCTGAAACAAGTTCCTTGCCCTTCACTTCTCTTTTGAAATCAAACCCCTTTGAACATTTTCCAAAGAAAAATTTTCTTGATTTTTTTTAAGGTTTTGAGTTGCTCTGTAGAATTGACCAAACGAAATTCATTCTGTACAACTTGAGAGAATAATAAAAAAGGGACGGTTTTACCATAGAAGTGTTTTAAAAGGTTTCTAGTATCTGTTTAGACTTATGGGTTGCCTTAAGAAGGTCCAATATCTCAGTCAGAAGTACCAGATTTCGATTTTAACAGCAATTTTCTTCTGTGGTGGTAGTTTTATATGAAAATTATACTAATTATGTATAAGTTAGTTTGCACATGTAACTAGAGAATGAAAGGAAAATTTGTCATGTTTCTCTGGACGTGTTCTTTACTTCAAATTCTCAAAACCCAAAGACTGGTATTTTGCTTACATTTTTCTTCTTTCTCTACTCCAAAACACCTCCCACTCACAAAACCTATTGCTTTGCCTCAGGCAGCCTTTGGGTTGGCAAACCAAGAATAACAATGTTTAATAAAGTGTGATAGAAGAGTTGCAAGTAAAGCAAGGCAGTGAAATGGATTCTTTATAGCAAGTGAGATCATAATTGAATGAACTTTGCATGTGGAGAACAAATTTAGTAGGCTGGCCTTGAACCTATGGTTTTTTTGTTTTTTACGCATGGTTTACATAATTTCATTTTCTGTGTACATGGTTTGTAACACTGCAGTTAAGATGCACAGTGCAGCATCAGTTGATACTTTGCAATGGAAAAGGCAAGGTGAAGGTGAAGAAGAAAAATGATGAGGGAATACTACATGAGATCTAATTTTACAATGGACAAGAAAAGCGTTATCAAGTTTTACTTAGCATCTGAAAACAGAAGAAAGTATCTGTGTTTACCCTTTATTTATGTATAGATATATTTATCTTTCCACATGTTTCTGAGAAAATACAGCACTGCAAAATGAACTGCAAGTAAGAAACTTGATTTGCAAAACAGGGTTTTTTGTGGCTGTGTTGCAAGTTTGTTGTCCTTGTGGGGTTTTGTGCAATTATCTGAAAAAAACCCTTCATGTTCCCACTATCAGCTCTTTTTTTCTCCTTTTTTTCCCAATTTGTTCCCTATACAATTCACAGTAGTTGCCTGTACATTTTCCCTCCAGTGTGATGTATTTGTCTAACAAACTTTGGAATTAAATATTTTTGAAAATGCAATGAGGTTTTCCACTCTTAAAATGTATTAAGTATTTTAAATAACAAGTTCCTTTAATTCATTTGTTTGCTTCAGCCTCTATACTCATTTTACAGCTAATCTTTTGGGGTTTCATATATGCATTAAAAAAATCCCTCAGAGCATTTCATTAATACATCAGAATACACATCCTTTCTAGAATATAAACCATTATAATGTTCAATATTACCCTATGAAAGTACATGAAAATACAGGGACATTCAGTATCTGTATACATATGTGCAAAGCTAAAATACTGCTTTTTTCACTTAGGTGAAAATTTGCATTGATTACCAAAAAGTTCCTTGATTCCTCTTCATATTGTCAGATAGGTTCCATTAAGAATCTTTACACAAAAGTAGCTAAAAAATTAAAACTACAGGAGGCAAACAGCTCAATTAATTTATTATTACTGATTCTAAAACCTTTTTTAAATTATATAGTGACAAATATTGCTTTTTACACTGCAATATAAAGCTAAATTCTGCTACATAATTTCTAAATTATTTCAGTAAGTGCGTCCTCAAAATATGTGAAATACTGAATTTATAATGACATTTGTGATTAAAACATTTGTAAATATCTCTTTGAATCAGATGCTGGTGCTATTACATCCTTGAGCTTTAGGTACTTACATTTAGGATAGACAGTTTTACTTTGGATGAGTACAGTAACTGAGTGGACAGAATACCATGTAGAATGTATAGTATAAAGAGATGGCTATAGTATGTTAACTACATTCATGTTAAGGGCCATATACTCTTTCTTTCTTGTGAAAGGTCTTCACTGGTCATATCATGAATTGATTGTTTTTAGATTTTCAGAAAATGGTTATCCAGGAACAGACTAGTCAGTAGAAGCTCTTTAGTCTTATATATTTATGTATTACTGCCAGAATCGTTTCAGTGTATTACAGACACTTTGGGGCTGTTGGGGCTACTGAATTCATATGGGCTATGAAATGTTGGTAGTTCCATTCTTTTTCATTTATTGGCTGATGTAGACTACATCCTGAAGGGTATGATTTGAAGAGAAACACAGAAGAATATTCTAGGCAGTTCACATAATGTTTTTGTTGCAAAGTCTGAAAAAGCTATGGCAAAGATTTACAATATTTGGCTATGTATTTTTAAAATGAAATGGAAGTGTCTTTTTAGTAAATTTAAAAGAACAACAGAAATTCTCAGAGCTTATATATACTTCTCTGTAAGCCTTCATTAAAAATGTATTTATTCAGTCAATTTTATGTCTAACTTTGTCTAGGAAAATTAGATTTAATGCCATGAACACAGATAGCTAATGCTGACACTTTCATAGACACCACTCATTTCATAACGAGCCCACATCTCTTTGATTTTGGAATCAACTCATTTCTTTCCTTTTCTTAACACTTCTCCTTAGATCTAGCTGACTCTTTGGTGAATTTGTGGGCACAGTTTTCCAGCCTCCTTTTGTCTTAATTAATCATAGCTTCTGACTGGGCACTGAGCCAAGTCATGTGCTCTCTTGAAAATGCATTCTTGGAAAATTATGGGTACAGAGACTAGTACCAAGACACTCAAGACACAATCCACATATCATCTGAATACAGTGGAGCACCATGTGGGTAAAAACTGATTTAATTGCCATTCTTCAGATTTAAGATATATATAGATGTCACTTAACAAGTTGATTTTAAAATGTTTTCTTGGTTTCTGAGAAATGTTTGTGCTGTGTTATACTGTGCATCCTTAATTGAAAGTCCAAGGGATAAATTTCAAAGAACTGGACTACTTTTTCCTTTTTATGAGGAAAGTTACATTCCTGTAAGCATTTTAAGGTTGGTTTTTTCCCCCTTTCTAGATTATGAAAGTATTCTCAGAAATTATGAGCAAGGAAAAATCAGGAAGTTATTGTAACTTACTCATTCTTCAAAATGAGCATCACCACTTCAAGGAGTGACAGAATCAGAAAAATAGAACAAAGCTTATCATCATATTGACCACCTTTCTGCTAGAAAAGGGTTCTTTCCTAAGATAATTTTTCTAGTACGTTTTCCTGCCCAATATAAATATATGTATTTAAGCTGCACACTGTCAAATCTTGTTAGCATTATACATGTATTTGAGAATATGTTCTTTGGGGTAGAAAATTATTAATCTTTATTTTGATAAAACTGCAAGTGTCACTTTTCATTTATTTTAGCGGTCTTCTTAGTCATAGCCAGAGAAAGCACTTTTTTTAAAATATTATTATTTCAAATCTCAGTTCCTTGCTTTTATTACCCTTAATGTTGTGGTTTAAAAAGAAGTTACTTGTGAAGATGCCTAAATCTATATCCTAGATCTTAACTTCTGTTCTGTCTACAGTTTACAATTCAGAATACACAATAATTCCCAGCATACAAATGCAAAATTCAAGGGACTGAGCCTGCCTTGTTTTCTTCCCTTTACAGTTTTAGTAAGCATGAGGATTGTATCCATTTTTATGGCTCATTGTTCCTCTGGGCAACAGACTATTGCTTTTGTTCATGAGGCCTGAACATAAGTTGTAATGAGGATCTCATTATTTCTTTATTTATCAGGATAGAAGTTCCCTCTCACTTTCTCAACCCTTTCTAACCATTTCAGCAAACTTCTAATTTTTTTCATTACTTTCTGTTAATCTGTTTTCATACTGATTTATGCCGCATTTCCTGAACCCACAAATTCAGAGTAAAGCCAAAATGACAGTTCACTGTGTCATCTATGCTGGTATGAAGGCAACTGCAATCTTCTGAGTCTGTTGCCTACAACATCGTATTCATCATCAGAGACTCCTGTTGCTCATCACCATTAGTCATTCTATTACGGTTCCATATTTCTATTCCCCACATTCAGCGCCATATTTCCTTTCTTCATCACAGATCCAACTATATTTTTCTAACCTGTTTTACAGTATGTTGCAGCACACCTTAACCTCTGAAAAGCTGAAGGCCTTCACAGCTCCATAGCTCTGTCCCAGTCTCATCTTCCTCTTTTAACTCCGCAGTCAGCAGAAAAGGAAACAAACAGGGCTTAGTAGATAACAGTAGTTAATTAAATAACCAATAACATGTACACAAGCTTGGTAACTAATTAGTGTGTGGAGTCTCTAGACCTGACCAAAGCATGTATGGAGCACTGTTTCTGTAAGGGGAAAGAGCAACCAGTAGGGAAACTGAGGATGCCCTGCTGAAGTTGTACAGTTACTCTGGAAAAATATTTGGGTGGACCTCCTCGCAGACTGCTGAGTGTGTCCTGAAGAGGATGTTCATTTTGGAAGATTCCTGTTGCATCTCATCCCATCCAGCCATTACTGCATTTTATTTCCCCTTTTCTTTCTTCCTCTTTCTCCTTGTCTTTTCCCCTTCTTTCTGTCTTTTAACATTTTTCCTCAGAAATAACTTTTATCACTAGAGTTGGTGGATGTTATATGCTATGGACACTACAAATAAATCTTTGTGCATGAAGCTTTTCTCTACACTCATTTATGTTGCTGATTTTAATGAGACTGAATAAGAAAAGGAAACATATCACATTTATTGGAAATTTGTTGCTTGCTTCTACCAATAGAAGTTTGTATATTAATATATACAAATATTCACTGCAATTTTTTTGAGTTTTAAAAAGTCCATAGTAATAGTAAATTGGTGATTTTCTTCCTTGTAAAATCTAAAGTATAGGCCAGTTTGTCCAATAACTCAGCTTCTGCAGTGTTGATTCAGCTCTCACTGATTATTTAAGATGTCTGAAGTTGTGTAGAAGATGCTGTAGCACGTGATCCAGAATACACTTTTTGACCTGTAATTGTTATTTGCTGCTCGCTGTAGATTTATGCCTACGTATTTGAGAATATCAGATCAGTTCAGCTGGAGGCTTTACTTCTCTCCTTGCTGAGCATTGTGGTGCTTGTTCTTGTTAAAGAACTGAATGAGAAATTTCAGAGGGACATTAAAGTTGTTCTTCCCATCGATCTACTTCTGGTGAGTACAAAAATTATATATCAGGCTTTTTCTTAGAAAGCTTTAAGTGGCTCAACTAATCTACTAAAGTTTACTGTGCTGTCCATAATTACCTGCACCCACACCTGCCACTTATTAAATGAACAGCTATGTATGTTAATTGTAAGAACAAGAAACAGTTTGGCTAAATAATTAAGAAAGAAGTGACATATGCTCCCAATTTGTATAATATTTTTCATATGTTTGCTACTTTTTACATAGTCGCAAGAACACAAAACCTAGTATGTTAAAGTGTAAGAAGTTTGAAATAGAAAATGAAAAGTAACCAGCACACGGTAACTCCAGGCAAGTTTTGTGCTGAATAGTTGTGGCTTAAATATTGCTTGTTATTTATTTGTAACAAAGTTAAATATCTATGCTGTTGCTTTATATAATTTTACTATTTATTTTAACAGTTTTCCTTTAACATGGCAGAGACTAAACTGAAATTAACTATTGGATTATAAACCTCTGCTTTAAGGATTAAGCTGTAGTCATATGATCAGCACCAGGGAAGAAGGTTTCTGGTTTTCTCTAAGGCTCTAAAACAAAATACAAAATATGAAGAACAGGTACTTTTCATGGTGGATTGTCACAATTAATCTTCTTTTGCTGGAAAAAGTTATTTACAAAAGAATAATTTTTATTGGGCAAAATGCTGGAAAAGGAGGTAGTGTGGTTCTCCATGCTTTAAGATCTGTTCCCATCCTTTTTAAAATACTGGATAAAATGTACCAGTAAACTACGGATTGTGGACTGGAACCCATGCCTGTTCTACTGGGATTTGTGTGTTCATCTCACAAAAAGTATGGGAAATGATTTTGAACCTCTTTGGGGTCAAACTTTCCACTCCTCAGCAAGATTCATACCTGCTGGAACATAAAAATAAGAAGCAGACATATATTCTGCTGTCTTTTGTGCTGAAGTCAACAATGCCAGTCTGGATTAGATGTGCTTAGAGAACATCTGCTGAATCAGACTGTACAGGGACACCTAAATTACACACTTCTTTAAGCTTCTCACATGAATGGCAGTGGTTTGGGGTGCAGGCTGAATAGAGGGAGTTTGGACACTGATTGGCAAGGTTCCTGAGGCTCTATAGAGGTTCATACAAATCTCTTTCATTACCACAGAATGTACAAACTGCACAATAGTCCTTCTCCAGCCATCTTTTCTAAATTCATTATTGTGTCCAGATATCAGTTTCTTTTGACTCTCTTCCATATTTGCAAAAATTTCATAATAACACTTTGCTGTCTTACTAGATTGATCTAAGGATAAATGTATGAACAGTTTTATGTGCTTAGGTGTGTCAATAATAGGGACCATGTTAGAAGCTAAAACCTATAGAAATATAACGTCTTTTTCTATGTTGAATCAATAGATAATTGCTACATCCATTGCTTGCTACTATGCTGATATGGAATACATCTATGGCCTAGAAGTTGTGGGACATATTCCTAAAGGGTAATGTGCTTTTTATTAGTTCGTGGCTTTTAAATATGTTTATTTCTGAGAACAGTCTCTGAAGAGGTCAAAGTAGTTTTCCAAAATAAGAAGAGGCAAAAATCTATTATGTTCATTTCCCATCTCCTCAAATACTCTCTCACAATTCAACCCCACGTTAACAAGTTTTGTCTGTATAGACACCATTGCAAAAATGTATTCTTGTACATTTTCATAGCTTTTCGTGACTTTATGGAATAAAAAGTAGGCACTAAATACTTGATATATGAGAGAAGGGCAGAACACTCTCTACAAGATTATTGCAACCTGCTTTTTGAGAGTTGCCTTGGGCTATTGTAGCAGAAAGGACTTGCAATAAGATTTATCAATTACTACACTTCATTCTTCATATAGTAATTTTAGACAATGCAGTTTCTGAGGAAATGCGAAGGATTTAATTATGTTTAATCTAAAAAAGAGCATTTTTACTACAGTTAGTGATACACTTTTCTCCATGACCTTGAAAGAAGGCAAAAAAAAAAATCAGTATAAGTAGCTGGAAAGAGAAATGAGATTAGTTTTCAGACAAAATGTTCAAACTCTACAGGTTGTTATGGAAGAGCACAGCTGTTGTGTAACCTCCTGTTTGGATATTGCAGGATTTCCCTAAATATCACAAAGTACAAGTTCAAGATATCGTAAGTGCCTGTATGGTAGTTGCACTGATAGAAATAAAACAAGGGACATTTCTGAGAACAAAAATTGGTTTTAAGTATTTAGGGCATGCTATGAATCTGAGATTAAAACAGGGCAAAGTGTGCCCTTTCAATGTGTAATGAACAGGTAAATTGTATTTTTGCGGCTTTAATCAGGAATTTATTTTCTATCTAACTTCACGCGAGTAGTGCTGAAAAACAGAAGCAGAGCCTGAATCATTCCTGTGTATTTTTAGTCATTTACCTGAAATATCTAACTGCCTTGCCAATGAAGAGCATCAGAAACCTTAAGAGCACAATTTGTTTCTCAGGTGGTATGATTTGTGCTCTGGAGAGACCAAAGTCTTTTTGTGGGGTACAATTTAGGGTGATTTGTTGTTTTGTAGCAGTCCCCATTAGAAGGTCTCCATTAGATGAAATAAATGTCCATACTGTCCATTACCTACAGGATATGAAATTGTTTAAAAGGTTTAAATTAAACTTTACAGGAAAGCCAACTATTGAAAAAAAATAAAATAGGGTCTCTTCTACTGAACATTAAAAAATTAGTGAATGGTTGCTGATTTTATCTCTCAGTGAGGCAATTAAATTGAATACTCCATCTGAAGCTGTTTTATCTTCTTCTACAAATTCTCTTCTGCAGTTCCCGACAGATTGAGATCTTATTAATCTAAAATATTGAAAAGTGTCACCTTACAAGTAGCAGAAAAATTAGCCATGCATGCAGAGATCGTTTTCCTTGTATTTCCATTAATTGCAGGTTTATAGAGACTATGTATCAAGTTTTGAAAAAATTCTTGTCTTTATTTTTTTATAGGTTGCCATCACCGAAAATGCCACCCATGAATGTCCTGCCTGAAGTAGTCACTGAAGCTTTTGGAGTAGCACTGGTTGGTTATGTGGCCTCACTAGCTCTTGCTCAAGGCTCCGCTAAAAAGTTTAAATACACTGTGGATGACAACCAGGTAAAGCTCTTTCTCCTTCCTGTCACTAAGCCTTGACATCACTTCATCATTTTGGAAAAGTATTATAGATGAATGTCCAGTAGGAAAGGGTATGTTCCCTATGGCATCTGACGCCTTCTAGTGATTACAGAAACACCCAAATCTTGTTCAGATCATCTCTGCAGAACACCCTCGCTGGTTGAGGCCTTCTTTTAGGGAAGCACATCCTTCAAGATAGTCTTGTAAGACTACATTTGGTGCAGCATTTGGACAACAAAGAATTTTTCACTGCTCTAAGGTGAGACAGCTTTTCCTCTGGCATGTGAGCTCTTAAAGACAAATTATGATGTTAAATCAGCCACTGATTAATGAAACAAAGCAATTCTAAAACAAAACCAGGTACTTATAAGCCCCAGGACACATCTGATGTTATAAAAGGAAGTTATTTTACACGAAGTAGAAGTCTCATCTGAAATAAAGGTTTATTTGTACAAAAGAAGCAGGGTGGGTTCAGAGAGTGCTGCCAAATTTACAGCCATAGGAGCTTTCTTTTCATATTTCCACTTTACAGAGGACATACTTAAATAAAACTGGGCCATTATTTCTACACTACATTGCTTGTCATGGTGGGTGGGTAACTCCAAGTCAACTGGAAATCCATGGAGACAATAATTCAAGCACTGTGGTAAGAAATGCTCAATTGCAGATAACCGGCAATAGTACTGTGTGATGAACAGGCTGCCTCCACCTTTTTGTTAAGTGATTTGGGATGAATGACAGAGAGTTGGCTTTGCAGCTGGAGGTCTATTTAAACAGGCCAGTCTTGCTACATCAGTTCCTCTGCTTTACAACTCTTATGTCATTGGAAATTATAGTGGGAATGGTCTTGCCTACTCAAGTCTCTAAAATATTTTTCAGTATGAATACACTGGGCCATGAATTTCTGTTGATGCTTCAGAGCCATGTTTTCTAGGGAGCAGCGGGAAAATGCTTTGAGCTTAACACAGGCCAGACTTCACAGTGACATGCTGCTTTGTTTCAAGGGCACTCAATGGAGCACAGCAACCTGTATGTCTTCCTGCAACTTTGGAAGTCTTGTAGCTTGCACAGCTAATTACTGAAGCCTTGGAAACTCTGTGTATGTCTGCACTGAATAATGGAGCAAAAGAGCAAAACTTCCATGAGAAGAGAGCAGTGGTGTGACTGTACTGCATTCAGGGGCCAGGCACAGTCTCTGCATGGTGCCATGTGGGAGGGGGTGTGTGAAGCTGCCTGGGAAGCTTTTAGGAGGTACTGTGCTGTGCTGTGAAGATAAACTTATGATAAGGTGTTCTCCTGGCTGGATACAGTACCATTTGTGGCCCAAGCACTTCTGAGGTCTTTTCTTACACATTTTCCTCAGCAGACCAGTATGCTTCAAACAGTCTGGGAAGAAGACTGATGCTGGGTGGCCAAGCAGGAATGCTTCCTTAGAAAACACTGTTCAGCTTAGGCTGCATATACAAGGTGGCTTCTCCACTTTTTCTTCTATAAATCTTTGGTCAGACGTGTCTGCATTTTGACTGTGAACAAACACCAAATACATTTGTGATGAAAGACAGCATGCAAATAGTACGGCTACCACACTTCACTTTGACTAAAACATCCTCTAAAAGAAACAAAATCAGTGTCTGTCTTCATCCAGTAGAGTCATAAGCCAGAAATTATCTGGACACTCTCCAAATATAACTATCTGGGGCTCTGGCCAGTTAAAAGGCAGATGTAGATCAAGATGTAAATATTTTGGTTGAACTTTGTCTTCAAAACTTAGCAATAGTGTTATTGTGTGAACAAAATGTGCCTCCTGCTTTTGATGAATCTGGTTCAGCAGCTCATCACTCAAATTAATTCTGAGTTGTGAGAAGATATATTCTGTTGGGAAATCCTTTTTCATGAACATATGTGATTTTTTTCCTTCAAAAATATGCCCATCCTTTATCAGTTATTTACATCGGGGACTCCTTTGTTGGCAAGAGGCATTGAAATGACAGAACAATAGGAAAAAAACATCTTCTGTTTAACAACTTTGCAGGAATTTTTGGCTCATGGCCTCAGCAACGTGATTCCTTCATTTTTCTTTTGCATACCAAGTGCTGCAGCGATGGGACGGACTGCACTTTTGTACAGTACGGGCGCCAAAACACAGGTAACAGGTTAGAGTGAAGTAAGTCAGAGAACTAAAACTGTAATACTGCTCACTGGAACTTGTACTGATTTGTGCATTGTGTTTCCCTATTATCCCTTCTCCTCTATCCTGGGAATGACTCTGCCCTGTCATTTTTAACAATCTGCATGAAATTGCATCTGATCAGCAATGTCTTCCTAGGAAAGCTAATGGTTCCAACTTACTCATTTTTACCTGCTTAATTCAATAATAAACTGTCAGGTCTGTGGCATCAAGGAGGTTAGGAGTTGTGTTTTCAGGCTGCAGAAAGCTACATAAAAGCCCTTTCAGTTTATGTGAATTTGTCAGCAGTGTAACAAAAGTGCCCTCCAATGGTGTTTAATGGATTTAGTAGTACAGCCTAAACTGAGGTTTTTAGGTTTAATAGCGAGCATGGTGGTGGTTCTAGGTTGATGGTTGGACTTGAAGACCCTAAAGGTCTCTTCTAACCTTAACAATTCTACAGTTCTGTTGTCATTTTATAACTGTTGCTCTTGCCTGTATAAAGGCCATTAGCTGCAAGGAAAAAGGTAATGAGGTACAACTGAAAAGGCTAAGTACAATCCATAGGTATTGTTTCTTCTTGACCATGTCCTGCAATTATTTCACATGCAGATGTCACAATACTAAGGAATTATACAGGGCTTTACTTCAAAAATCTACATGTTAATTACTTGCTAATTAGCCTACAGGGCTAACTCAAGTAATCATAATGAATAATCTAATAAATAATAATCTTGAAAAGCATTTATATGCAAATAGTTTAGCTACCACCTGTTATTAGTTATTTCATATATTTTCATTGTATTCAATGCCATGTCTTGTGCCCTCATCCTTATAGACATCCTCTTCTGCAACCTGTCAATGTACTGATTGTACAGTTTGCAGTTGTACTGCATCATGTTGTGCTGGCTTTTTCAAGGAAGATTTAAGGAAACCTGAAGACCTACACCTGAAAACCTATAACCTGAAGGCATATAGGGTATTTGAGCACTTTGGCTTTGGTACATGTAGGCAAAGGCCCTGATAGAAGGTTATTCAATACACGAAATGGAAAAAGAAACCACCGTAGTTTGATTTCAAGGTAGGAGATGCATGGCAAAAATCTGCTTTGTTTTATACATTGGTTTCACAGTATAGCAGAGCCTGCATCTGAAAGTTAGAGTATGGCTATGAGAGTACTTCAATAAATGTAACGATCTCTCTCCTGCCTTTTTTTTTGGAAAGCAACACATCCAGTTGATCCTCCTCTTTGTGGCTGCCTAGGCAGAAAGAAGAGATGAGAAAAACATCACTTGTAAATGTTGGTCAAGTCATAGGCAAAAAGAAGAGAGAAGGGTTGCTTTGATTACACAGAGACAAATGAGTTTAGCATAGGTCATGGAAGTAATGCAAAGGGACTTTCAGAGGCACAGAACTGCCCTTTTTTCTCAAATGGCTATGCCGGGGTTTCAATTTTGCCATTTGTTCTTCAGTGATATCTTTTCCTGGGAGAAAACAGAAGTGAGGGACTCTATCATGGACTAGAAGTGTCCTTCAAACAGAATCAACACTTTTTTTGCTTGCTGTTTGTGAAGGCAGAAGGAGGGAAAAGTTCTTTGTGACTTCACCAGCAGATTTTCTGTCCCTTTTTCTGTAAACACTCTGTCTATCTTTCTTGATGGTATTTTTAAGTACACCATGACTTTAATTTTCTAGTGTTTTAGCAACTTGTCTGGTTTTGTTTTTAACAACTTGTCTCTTAAAATGAAATCTAATTATTTTAGTAAAGAAACATATTATCGATATAAATTTAAAGTGAGCATCTGTCTACTTATCAAAAACCTTCTGTGAATCTGAACTGTATCTTTATAAGAGCAGAAGAACTCAGTGAACACTCAGAGTGGAGTAGGACAGTGCAATTTTACTGTAGTTTTCAATCAGATCAATACCATAAATACTGTGAAGAAGCATATAATTATTCGACCATATATTTTTCTGGATTAATTTTACCTACATTAATTATGATTTTTAAAATATTTTTAAAAAGTGTACTCACATTTTCTAAAGTCAAGTCCACTGATATTAGCATAAAATCATTAGTGGTTTTTGACTTAACATAATACTTTTCTCTTAGTGTTAATTCCAGTAAAAGAAGTTAAATGTCTTCTGCAAAAATGACAACATACATAACTTCTGCTTAGTGCTATAACAGATCTGCTATTTAGTGCAACATAGGGTGCATGGCTATAAATATGTTACAGAATGACACTGGGTGCTAAGAAACTTCTGGGATGAGATATTGCACACACGTGCTCCATTTAATAACCAAGTGCATAAGTGATGCTCTGCTCTGTGTCTGTGTGCTGGTAGCAGGGTCAAGCACAGATGTCGAGATTTCTCACTGTGTTTTCACTGTAGTTGGTTGAAGGTAATCACCAGAGATTAAAACTGAAATTATATGCATCTGCAATTCACAGATATGTTAAGAGCTAACATCTTCAGCATCTGATCCTTGACTTTATCTACAAAATTTTATAATTAATCCTTTTCACAATTTTTTTTGGTAGTTGTTAGACTGATGATCTTCATTTCTTGTTTATTGTTTTAGATGGCTTGCCTTATCTCTTGTGTACTAATTCTTGTGGTGATCTATGCAATTGGACCTCTGCTGTACTGGCTTCCTATGGTACGGTACTTATCTTTTTTAAAGATTAAGATGTTAAACACTTTCTAATGAAAATTTTTTTCAGGGAAAGGCAGTGCTACCTCTAAAACAGCTCTATTTAATGTCATTGGGGGAAAGGATAGTAAGGGTACAGTAAGTCTCCAAATCATAAAATACAGACGTGACAACATAAGACATAATAGATTTTACACATATATAGTTGCATATATAGGCTATCACATAAGTAAATAAAAAAAAGTGCATTTCTTTTCTACTTACTTTTGGCCTGTAATTTATGAAAAACATACAGCCAAGTTGCTGTGGATTTGTAAATTGACAAAATGTGCTAGAAATTAATAAAGATTTTTAATATTTCTCCAGGTATGCATATGATACATGACTTTGCTCTTCAAATAAATTTGACACAAATTATTTTAGATAGTGATCTAAGCTTAATTATAGAAAGATTGTGAAGTATTCTTATATCTCTGTCATGGGATACATCTTCTATGTTAAGACTATAAAACAGTGTGGCATCTTTTCACATAAGCTATATTTGTCTTTTGGTATTACAAATTAATGGTTAATTTTAACTAGAACCATGTCAAAGCTGCAAAATACAGCTCCAAAACTGTCCACAATTTTGCCATGTTTCTACATGAAGTTTTAGCTCAACTATGTTTTAAATTTACTTTATGCTATTGTTTACATGGTGTCATGAAAGTTCTCACTTTTCAAACAGATCCTTTTATAGCTTATTTTAAGCATGCAAAGTAAGGACACTTGAAGAGGGATGTACAGTATGTCCTTTTTTTACTTTCTTACTTTTTTTCTTTTTTACTTTCCTACTTTCCTACTTTAATTTTTTAAAATGGATTATATGTAAATTTTGACTGGTTTCCTGTAGGCATTTTTTCCCATATTTAAAATATACTTTTTGATTGTTGCTTTCTTGATATTTTATTTCTCTTCTAATATGTTTTTTCAGCCCTCCCCACCTACCCACTGCAAGTTCATTGGTTTGTACTCCATTCTTTTTGGTTATAGATCATCCATCATCCATATCCTCCTCTTTTTTGAATCAGAGAACAACAAATTATTCTGTTTGCTTCAAAATTAATGGGCTTTTGCCCTAGAGGCCTTCGCTAGGGGAAGGAGAGGAAGTGAAGAAGAGGAATTAAAATTCTTCACTGTGTAGAAGTAGAATGTTGATTTGCTTGTGAGTACTTCAGACTATGGGAGAATGTAGCTGGTCTGGTGACACATGGAGAGCCTTGGGTAGTCCTGAAATTTCTGTAATTTTTCTCGTGATGAGGTGGCCCATAGATTGCATTCACAAAACAAACAAACAAACAAACAAAAAACCCCAACGAAACAGGGGTGACGCTCTTAGTGTTTATGTCACAAGGACACCTGTACTTATCCCGTTTTTGAAACACTAACCATTTATTTTATAATTTCATTATAACATTGACTGCTAAATAAAAGAAAGAGCATTTGTTTTCACTTACAGTTCTGCAATTCTTTTGTTTTTATGTCTTTGCAGTGTGTCTTAGCAAGCATTATTGTTGTGGGCTTGAAAGGGATGCTAATGCAGTTCTGTGACTTAAAAAAATATTGGAATGTGGATAAAATAGACTGGGTAAGTCAAACTTAATCTAAGGAGGTTTTCCTGAGACTTTTTAACAAATACCTAATAAATAAACTTTAATAGTTCTGTGACCCTAGAAGATATAAGTGCAAGCCATTAGTATTTTTGTGTACTATTGGCTCAGAATAACAGCATCTCTAATATCAGTTGTATTAAAAAATGGCATTTTAGCAAATGATAAATGATCAAACCTAATTTAATGCTAGCAATGTGTATACAGACCAATCAGGTTAATGTGTGCAAATATGTGTTTAATTTTTATGGCTTCTCTATCTGGTTGACATAAGCTGTTGCTATTGCAGTATTATTGGAGAGATTTGGGTATCTTTGTCCTCTGGGGACATGGAATGACCATACAGGAAAAAACAGAACTGGAAACACTGGGGACACAGAAAGATACGTGTTGAGGTGTTGTTGTAGGTAAATTGCCTTAACTCTTTCAGATTTTGCAAACAGAATATCTATTGTTCAATCATAACGAAAGATTCTGCACTATGAGGGGAAGAATACATCAGAAATCTAGTTTAATACAAAGTCTGAATAGTCTGACAGAATTTGCACAAAATTCCTAGTGAGTAGTAAAGACAAATCTATGTGTGAGAAAAGTCCTGGATTTCTCTTCTGTGGGAGTTTTTGAATGTATTGGCCAGTTAGTGGAACCAAAACTTCTAGGCACTTTCATAGGTACATATATACTGACATCCCATATATTTAAGGTAACTAATATTCAGAAAGATATTTTGACAATATTGTGGTGGAAGATACAGTTTACTGGAGTTAATATTGGGCTTTGATGAACTCACTGGTGACTTTACAGCAGTAATGGTTAAGTCTGACTAATCATTTAGACTGAGTAAAATGTTTTTTTTAATGGGGAACTGGATTTAAGTATGGGAAATAGATCTGTCTGAACAACATCAAGTTTGGTTATGTGAGTTTTTTCACATTTAGTCACAAATGTTTTAGAGGTTTTCGGTTTTTGTTTGGTTTGTTGGTTTTGGTGGGGTTTTTTTGTATCAGCCAGAAGAAAAGCTTTATCTTTCATGCAATCTTATGCTCCTCAAGCAGTAAAATTCTGAAAATATTTTCTATCACTTGTACTGTATTTGATCTTCAGTTTAACACATATTGCCAACGACAGAAATGGTGGATGATGTGGATCAAGAATTATTTTGGCTACACTGGACTTAAGAAAATTGGTAGTTACGGGAGAGAGATATATCTTCTCTATCAGTGCACTGAGACAATAAGTAGTTCAGTTTTCCAGCAGGATATTCTGCAATGTCACTAGATTTGATGCATCTTCACAGTTAGACTTGCCTGATTGATTTTTGCTTTTCTAGTTTTGGCAGAAAAGGCTGAGTGAGTAGTTAGTTATTACCTCTCTGATGTCTATCATTTCTAAGAGAGATTATAGAAAGCGGGAGTTTGCTGGGTTCATCTTTTTGACTGAACATACTTGAACAATGATTTACATTCAAGTAGTTGCACCATCAGTCCTTAGCTTGACAGGGTAAATCATCTTGGTTTAAATAGAATAGTTTAAAGTAAGGCTATAAACATTGATCTTGCATTGCTGCCTGCTCTGAGGAGCCCCACCAAGCCCAGTGATTTGTGTAACTACACTGGTGTTATTTCGGCCTGAAAATATTCACTGCAGCAATTGACAGAACACTGGAAATGAATTATTCAATCACCCAGGTTATCCAAAGTGTTTTGAAGATAGAAACTCTAACAAAATATTTGGAAATAATTAGCAGTTGTCCTTTCTGGAACTGATTCTTTGAAGGGTGTGTGTCATGTAGCATTGAAGTCAGGTTTGTTTTGCTTATAAGTCTGGCAAATGATAGTGCATGGAAACAGAATATTATGGTGTTTGTTACCTTTTTTCTTCACACTTCCTTAAGCTTCTCATTGAACACAAATGGGATGAATAACATTTTCTTGTTGATTGGTTCTTTATAAACATAATTCTTTTAAATATTAAAGGTTCAGCTAGAAAGGTACTGTTCAGGAGCTGGACTTGAGGATCTTCATTCATTCCTTCCATCACAGGATATTCTGTGTTTCTATGAAATTTCTTCTTTTAGCTATGGATGGCTTTTCCTTTCAGATTTAGTGTTTAGGATCAGCTGAGTTCAAATAAGCAGCTAGGCTGACAGCCTTTAGTAGCCAATACCAAATATTATTGCATAAATTTGTTTCAGTTTTCTTTTGACTTGTTTTTTATCAACTCTCAGGGATGTCCTGTTTAACAACCTGCCTCTCAAATCACATTCAATTGCTTTCCAGATAGTACCCCACTGTCCTTATTCCAGAGATCTCTTTCCTGCCATTCACAGCGTCCATCTGAACTTCAAATGTCTCTTGCTTCTCTTGCCTTAAAAAGCTCTGAGGCATCACTTCAGTTAAGGTCTTCTGTCAGTCCCTACACCTTCTTGGTTGGATGACTTCAACAATCGCAGATTAACAATTCCACTATTGCACTGGGAGTGATTTGTCCTGATTTTTTTTCCTCTTTTTTTGGGGAACTATCAGGAAGCTGATCTGATATTTGTCTGTGAGTATATCTCACTTCTCAGGTCCTGAGATCAAAAGTTGATTTCCATATCCGTCCTGCAAGCCTAAATTCTAATCTGGGCCAACTTGACTAACTTGCCTTTTTATTCTCCAGCTTGACAGTGCACTTTGCTAGAATCAATAAAAAGGCCAATAAAGTTCTTGTTAACTCTTGATTTTAAGGCTCAGCATCCCAGATAGGCTGCCTTTTAAGCTAGGCAAAAAGTACTGCCTGGAAATGGACTGTTGAAGAACAATATTTTCTTTGCTGTTAATAATTGGACTTGAAAGTGACCAAGGATGGGGAAAAAGTATTTCAGAAGGTGATGCTCTAAGTGAAAAATGATAATAGAATAAGGATTATTTTTATTAGTTAATTATATAGCATGGATCTGGGGAATTCTACGTAGAAATACTCTGGCATTTAAAGAGAAAAAACTGTTTTAAGGTTGCACATATGACTTGACCACAAAATGACCACAGTTGAGACAAAGCCAGCTTCATGATTGACTTCATGATTCATAAAGCAGGAAGAATGGCAAGAATTTATGGTAAAAATTACACATTCCCTGCAAGGTGTTGTGATGTGAGAGGCAGTTATTGATACATGAATTGTAAGTACATGCACATTTAATAATATTTAAGGATGTAAAGAATGCTACTAATTCAGAAATTAAAGTAGATCCAACAAGGAGGGTCTCATTTTTGACAAGTATCCTCCAAGATCTTGCCAGTGTTGGTTTCTGAGACATGGATCGACCCTCTTTCAATATATTTTGTCAAAATGTTTAGAGAAGAGAGCCCAGGGAGGGTCTTTCTGGAAATTTTGGAGTTCATTAGTGTAATTTCTTGGTTTTTTTAGAACTTCTTAACTTATTATCCTCAGGAGGAAGATGGCCTTTTAGATTTGTCACACATGGGTCCTGATACATGAGAGTGCTCTAAGAGCTCTGAGGACTTTGCTATATAAACAATTTTCTGCAAGGTAGGAAACCATCTCTTCTGTGAGAATAATTTTCCATCCATGCTTTTAGCTTATGACATCCTAGGGAGATTTTCTCTTTTTCCTGCATTAGTGAATATGCTACTCTGAATTATATTACTTGTGCTGTAGTTGATCTCAGTGGGGTGGCAAGGAATTTGCAAATGCTTAATCCATTGAAAGTGTGCTTGCCACATAAATAATTTTTAAAGAGTAATATTTGTATCAGTTCTTCTGTCTCCAGGGCTGTTTGAAAAAAAATACTGTCTTAACCATTGTGTATGGAATACTTGTGAAAAATTATATTAAAGGACTACCATACCACTTTATTATCAGAGGATCATTTAGGTTGGAAAAGACCTTTATAGACCATCTAGTCCAACCATTAACCCAGCATTGCCAAGTCTACCACTAAACCATGTCGCTAAGTGCATTAAGCAGTTTCTGCTCTATGTCTGGTGGTTTTCACTTCAGCCCTTGAATCATAAGTTTTGGTGAAGGGTGTGCTGGGGATGAATGCCAGTATCAATCATTTGTCTGCAGAAGGATGTGGGAGCAGGGTCATGTCACTCAGCCTCCTTAGAGCCAGAGCTTCCTCCAGGACTCCAGCATCTTCCCTGCTGAGACTCTTCCTGAATGAGTAGGACTTTAATGGGATTCTTCTTTTGGCTACATGATGATGATGGCAACATGGGCCTCTCTCTTTGAGCAAGTCATCACAGCCTCACATTCAGATAGTACAGAATTGGTCAGCCGAGTCATGTTAGGGTATGACTCATCTCTTCCTCAAGTAAGCAACAGCATAATCAGGTAGGAGTTAAGCAAACTGCATCCTAAATTCTCCTCACTGTGATAACCAAATCTGCATTAGTTTTGCTAGGAAACTAGACAACTGAGCTGCCAACAGTTAATGCCAAGTGAGAGGGATTCTACCCATTCAGGCAATAGCTGATTGTCTCAGTTTGCAATGAAAAAGGGAAGTTTATAATCTGGTTTCAAAGTGGTAGAGAAACATTTATTTCACCATACCTTAGCATTGCATAGTTTAGCCCTAGGTTCAGAAAATGTTCTACAACTTATTTACATGCTTTTTTCCTACCAAGTTCCCATTTCAGATGCTCCTCAACGGTGGGTGATTAGATCCTATGAAATGGAAAAGTCTAGATGGGGGCAGCTGCTATATACACAGTCACTGCACCTCTCAATGCTTCTGATACTTTCTCATATGTACAGGAGTCAACATAAGTCCATTACTTCTGCTTGTTTCTTTACTCCCTCTTTAGAATTTTTCTTTAAATTAGTACAGTACAAAGATACTTTGAAGGTGGATTTTGTTTTGACTTTTGAGAATAACATGTCTGTAACACATTGTTGCTAAGATTTGAAGAGTGATTAGGTTCTATCTGTCCTGGACTATGCACTAATCATCTTGAAGTAAGTTGCCAAAGAAAACTTTAATATTTTTATGACTTCTTTGATGAACCTTGCAATAGCCCATAAAAAAAGTCTATCAGATCAACATAACTTCTTTCTACAAGTTTGATGCTACACTAACTAAAGAAGCACTGACTCCAGGCCAGTACAAAGCACTGAAAGGGTGATTGACTAATGAGAATATAATTGTTTTGGCTCAACCTCTACATCAATGGCAGTCTCTGATTACAGTTAAGATGTAAGATACTAGGCTGCTAGAGAGGCACTCAGCTAGCTTATTCAGTACTCAGCAGTACTTAAATATTTTTGGGTTTTATTTTTCCTATGCAGACTTTGTATTGGGTTTTCATGTTTTCTTCTGAGATGTAAGAATTTTGCAGCTCTAGCAGCAGTGATTTAGTTAGATGTGATGAGGCTCAGGTCTGCAGCTGAAGTGAATTGCACTGCAGTGGATTCAGGTGTTGTCAAAGGTTCAGCCTTATCAGGATAGGCTAATTCTTGATCCCACCTGAACTTCAGGTTTGTGGTATTTTTGTTAGCCCTTTCATGTCCAGTGAGCTCCTTTAAATATAAACATTGGCTTTGTAAATCCTAGCATTACTTTCTTACTGGTTAATTAAAACTCATATCTGTTGCTCATAAAGGTATTTTTGCAAATATACACACAACAATTTGTATAAGATATCATGTTAAAATACAGCTGCTGATTGAGGACAGTCTCAATGAACTGCCTCTTTATCTAGCAGCTGTGCCGTTGAAGAGATTGCAAAACCTTTTGCAGAAATTAGGAATCTTGAAGTTGAGGGAGGGAAAGGTTTCTTTATAGAATCATGTAACACTGTCCTCTGTGAAGCACAAATTAGTACAGTATGACTTACATTTTATAATTCATAAAATAACAGTTCTGAAATCTGCTCAAGCAAAATTCCTGTGGTTAGGCTGAAAGTGTTCTATTGTCTCTGGCTTTCATGAGTTAAGTAAAAGCATCAGAAAGGATAATCTTAACATTGATCGTTTCATTGTAATGTGATCTGTTATTCTGCAAACATGAACAAGAAGCACTACAAGAAGTAATTGTTGAAAGGGGCACCTGTGGGGATCGGGATATTGAGAGGAGTGAAAATAATTTCCATTCTTCTTTAACACCTTTTATATAAAGATTAGGTGGCAGTCTTTGCTTAAGGTTCCCCCAGGGAAAGAAATTTGTGCTTTATTGTACCAATTAGGTTGGTATAAGAAATCGAGTAATTTGTACTTTTCTTCTTTTAATTGTAAAATATGGGTATCTCTCAGCTATACACATCATTGTAGTATGGAAATAAAAATGAACATTTCTGGTAAGAGAATAATTTTAATAAATGAAATGTTAATTTTTTTAAGTTTTTTTTTTAAATATTTTAAATTTCTTTTCAAAGTTACTTTAGTTTCAGATATGCTTTTGTATATTTTTTTTAATTTTAATTTAAGATGAATCCAAAATTTTAGTAATCAAATACTGAAAGGTGGGGAAGTAATATGAAATCTCACCATTTCTCTGGGAAGGAATTCATTCCCCAGTAATTTTTGTTATAGAATTGTTTTAGTCAGCTTTACTCTGATAAGCACCACTTTTAATCAGCCTCCTTGCAAATTATAATTCCCACATTAGTGGGAGAAGAGCTCTCTGTATGTGACCTCATTAGGGTACATTCTCATTGTGTGAAAGGAAAGGAGGATTTAAAATCTGTGCAGTCAAGAAAGTGGCAGAACTTGCAACGTGAGGTATAAAATACAGGTTTTACAAAACTACAGTTCAGTCTGTTTATGCTGTTAGCACAAGTACATATGCTATTTTAAGTAACTCCGGAAGGAATCTCTGTGATCAGTAGTGCCATGTTGCACTTGGTCTCCCGTGGGGAGGCATTACTTTAATTGCTAATTCAGTCTTCAGTATTTACCAGTTCAAAGATCCAAATGTTCACATCTGAGAAACTATCTTAGTTTTAAAAGTCTTTTTTCTCATTCATAAAATGCACATTGCTATGAAATTTAAAACTAATCACTTCTTTTTCTTCCCTCCTTCAAGAGCATATGGGTTAGTACCTACGTGTTTACAATATGCTTTGCTGCCAACGTGGGACTGTTGTATGGCATTGTCTGCACTATAGTAATTGTGATTTTCCGCTTTCCCAGGTAAGAATCAATTTATTGGAATGTTCTACTAGCACACCATTATGTTTTCTTTCTGCCTATTGATTCACAGTCAGGATGGACATACGGTATACTGAATTCAGTATTTTAGTTGCAGAAAATTACAAGATAAGACAAGTCAAAAGGAAAAGTCACACCCATGCGTTTACCATAGACTAAGGATCTCTACAACATTTTATGAAATGGCATATTTTGTGATTTCTCTTATTATTACACATCTGTATGATTCATTATGTGAAGGTAGAAAAAATCAATAGAAAGATTAATAATATAATTTTTTTCCATTAGATATTTATTTGGTCCTTAATGAGAAACAATGGCAAGCCTTAGGAACTCTAAGCACCTTTATAAACTCCTAGGTACTATGTTGCATAGGAGTTGGTGGTTGACATTTGCACTGCTAATATAGATTAATGAAACATAATTGCACAACTATTCTAATATCTAATAAAAAGTATCTGTTCTGTTTATGAATTAGAAAAGCCAGAACAAATAAACTAGAGTAATCAGAAGTTCTTATATATTACAGTTGCTACTTTGTATCATCAGTAAAGAGAATATATCAGCTGAGGTTCATGATTGATTTGTGCTACAGAACTAATTCACAGATCACCAGACCTGGAAACGACTTGCTGCTTGCATGCAGTTGTTTGCATGAACATTGAATCCCACTGAAATTAAGCATAATATAGACAGCTTGATTAAATGCTTGTTAAAGTTAATGGTGTTAGCCATTTGTGCACAGCTCTGTTCTCTTGGAATAAGTTGCAGAACCAGCATGAAAATAGTTCAAAATTGCAAGGCAGTTAAAAATTATGGAAGATGATCTCTGCTTGAATCAATCAGTACCTTTGTGGTAAACTTCTGCTATTCAGCAAGCTAAAATTTTGGTAAATTCTGCTAGTAAAGCAAAATGCAAGTTTTCATGTTTTTACCCTGGACCTGAATGTTTGAGGTTCTCCAACAGCAGAAAGGGAGGGACATCTAACACAAAAGAGCATGATCCTCTGTTGCCTGATCTAACAGAGACCTCAGTCTGAACCTGCACTCTTCCCAGTGATTTCTGTGTTCTTCAGTCAAGCTGAATGTGATTGTTCACACCATCTAAAGGCACTGAACAAGGTAGCAGCCTTAAAATCTGTACTGTGCAGATGTGGTTAGCGAGACAATATGTAGTAAGACATGCAGTCATGAGCAAAAGCATTAGCAGAAGTGAAGCAAGTAAAATATCTTAGATTATTTATTGAGAAGTTTCTGTTCAGATGCCAGAGTATTGGATGTGATACATGTCACGTATCAGAATGTAAATTAAAACCAGCAGCAGCTACAGCCTAATTTATGCAAAGATGAGAGAACAGCTGACTTTTGCAAGGCTCATTTAGCCAGCCTCAATACCTGCAAATACTCTTTCACACTGACGCATCTATTAAATGTTTGTATTCTGGGATTATTTCCATTGCCTAGCTTTAGGCACAGAGCTCAGATAACAGCTAATTTGATAGTCTTCTTCAGTAAATTGTGTTCCTGCAAATGCTGCACTGAAGAAGAAGGTCAACCTACACTAAGGTCAAACTACAACGTACACCTACACTCACCTACACTGAGCTGCCTTTCCAAGGCAACTTTCTCTTTTCACAGACTGGGTAGACAGCACAGGGATACTGGCCCTTTCCTGTTAAGTTCCCCATTTTGATAGCTAGAGTGCAGTGTTCTTCTTCATCATACAAAAATGTGTCAATTTTAATGACAAATAAAAGTCTTTATTTTTCATGACCCGCAGCTATTCAACAAATTTATTTCCCCTTTCCTTATGTTATGATTTTGCAGGTAAAAAATGTTAATTAAATCTCTTTACTGTTGATGCTATAGATTATATATGAGCTACTTTGGTTTGAGAATAGCTCTCTGGCCAGCTACAGAACAGTAATGAAAATTAAAATTAAGAAAATGAAAATGAAAATTGAGATTTTATTCACCAGAGACTTTCATTATTCATATTTTCAAAGTGATATATCATAATTCTAAAATGAGTTTTTACTCTTTAACTAGATTATCAGAAAAGATAAGCTCTATATGCACAAAAATATAGACAGATTGCATTGTCCCTACTTCAAACCTCTCTGCTGCAGTTTGGCATGTATCTCTTCCTGTCTCTGTTCAAGACTACTAAGGATTTGCCTTACAGATTTTCTCTGTGTATTGATTACAGAGCAAAGACGCTGAATTTGAAAAATGTGAAAGAAGTGGAATATAAATACAAAGCAGAAGATAACTATGTAAGTTATTTTTTTTTAACTTGTGTGTGTGTGTTTCACTGATTTGTTTATTTTCTCTAGTTGGCTATCAGATTGTAATCAGGGAGTCAAGGGAACATTTTTATGATATGACCACTTGAAATCTAAAGCCCATATGATATAGTAAATACAAAACTAGCCGGCCATCAGAAATTGGAATATCTTCACGATCATGCTGCTGGTCTGAAAAGCGAAGTTAGGCAAGTCCTCTTAGATCTATCTTAGTTTATTTGTCATTTTAAGTAAGGAATTGCTCTTTGTAAAAGTTTCCTAATTCCTAAGTTTAAGGAAATCTCTTGCCAGGAATGGCAAGGGCAATCTGAGCAGACAATACCAGTCTCTGTATTCTTATCAGATTTCCTCACTTCCTGAAAGTCCTTTGGTATTCTCATATCCACAATCTCTTTTCTGATCCCATTTCTGCCACCAGCCCCTTGTGACTGGACTGTCCCAAAGGGCACTGTGTGCAGCTGGGAAAGGAGGGCCAGCACCGTGAAGTTGTCACAGACTGCTTCACACATCTCCTCACCCTATGCTCAAACAAGGTACCCTCTCATGAAAACGGATGGAAGAATCTCTTCCAAAGACCATGCTTTTAAAATTTGGCTTCCTACAAACTCAAACTAACCAGTCAGATTCTTTTGGTTATTTTCATTGCAATTATCATCAAAGCTGCTTGTGGTCAGGCCTATGGTAAGAAGAGAAGGGTAATGACCCAGAGAGGTGAACTCCCTCCTCAAAGGTGAACTGGTGGGTCAGCAGCCAAGAGAGAAGTAGAACCATGTGTCCTTTCAGCACAGAGCCCCATCACTGGGACATCTTGCCTTCTCCACAGTGACAGTTTCTACTATGTCCTTTTTCCTTTTCTAATGTTTATGAAGGGTATTATGTATCAGTAAGCCACATGCTCAGCAGTTATTGCCTCACCATTAAGAAGCTCTTCTTTAAAGAATTTATTGTTTCTGGCAAATGTCTTCCATCAGAGCTATCTTGGGCTCAAAATCTGAACTTTCAGGGGCTCGGAGGCATTTACGGTTTTGGCATGCTGAGCAACACTGGAATGTGAAAGGTACATAAGAATGGGGAGGACTCTGAACTGTGAATTAAAAACACTGTTGTTGAGGCTGGGCTCGCTGTCAATTATTATATCACTTTTCATTCTTAAGAAAAACATTGGAGTAACTTTGTCAGAGATGGGTAACCAAAATTTTATTTGCCTGTTTTTTTCCTTATCAGTTCAAGTATTTTGTACAAACCCCTATACATCTTTTTTTAAGCTGTGTTGTTTTTTTTAACTTAATCATTAAGATTAATGCCAGTAACCTAGTAATAACAAACCAGTGTCTGCAGACATTGGGGAAAATAACATTTTGTTAAGGAAGCAAATTGCTCAAGGGCTTATTGCACAAAACAAAGAAGGAAAATGTTTTTAAGATTTAGAAAAATGCCTTTAATTGAATTTGGAGTCACTGGATTGCAGCAGGCATTTAGGGTAATTTTTAATATATGAATGTTACACTGATCCAAGTTTCCCTGGTAAATAACAGCTTAGACATAAACAACAGGACTTTTAAACATCAAAATATGCAAGCTTAATGATCTCCCCTGCCATTAAGGTCTGTGGATTTATAGGGGTTATTTCACCAATAAGAGAAAAGACACTTTAATGTGGAAAAAAATCAAAGGGTATTTAGAAGCTTATGTGAAACACATTGCATCAGAGGTGTTCACTTAAAATGAACCCTTACCCAAGCATAGATGGTGCTGTGCAGAGTGCACTGGGCAATTGCCTGTGTCCTTCTAAGGGATGGCAGGGACAGGCCACTGAAATAATTTTCCCACTTTCTTAGCAAGTACACAGCAAAGAAGAAGTTCATTTTTCTCAGAACAATTCTTTCTAAGAAAGAACCAAACCAGAGCCTGGAATAACTGAGTCAAATTGGGCACATTTGACCTTACCCATTCTGGACAAAAAAAGTATACCTAAGTCTGCCATCGTTTCAATCTGGCCTTATGATTTGAGCCTTTCAAGTTTTCCACCTTGCACTTTTGGAAGCTTTTTAGCCTCTTGATCATCACAGGCTTTTATCTTTGCACATCAGCCTTCCTTTTTCCTCAGTTTTCATCTTTTACTTTCCAGTGCTGCTAAGGCACTGAAGTGCCCACTTGTCTCCACACCAAGCTGTGTATAGCATAATTTTTAATGGGAATCCGTGGAATGTCAGAGTATTTCTCCATTCAAAAATATATTGCCCTCTGTTTTGCCCTTATTTTAGAGCTGTCTTTCATATAAACTGAGCCATTTCAACTGCCATGCTTTGCCAGTTGTCCGACTGAGGTATGTTGGTGATGTGATATTTACCACAATTGCATTCGTAGGTAAATTGCGCAAAGTCCCTATACATAGTCTGGTGTTCTTTGCCTCACTTTGGGATCTTTGAAATGTTTCCTTTGTATGATGGTCACTGCCGTGGTGTCCAAGATATCATCTGGTTCCCAGAAGTCTGAACAGCAGTCTGCAATAAGGACATAGTTTTTGTGGTTTGTGGTGAAGATTTTCATTCCCATTTTACTTGAAAGTCTGTTGGGAAAACTGCATATCTTCGATGCAATCCCAAAAAATTTTAAACTACTTGAAAAATGGTCTATGTCAGCTCCACTTCCTTTTGTTTGAGTGTGACCTTCTTGTATGACTTTTGTTAGGGAAAAGAGAGGCTTTTTGACCTATACTCTCTTGCAAATTTTTTGGTTTTATTTTCATTGTCACACAACCTGTGGAAAATTTATAGTTCAGTAGAATTAACTTAATTCTACCTCCTACAAAACCAGTATTTAATCATGTGATTGCTGATATCCAATATATTTATATATAAATAATAATTTTTTTACTGGCTTTAAGGCTTTTTATGAGTACACCTCGAGAGTGAGAGAAATTGTAGGTTTTTTGTGCAAAATGTTCCTCACTGATGCCTGGGGTTTCTGACCTTTGTCTGATGTCATTCCAAAATTGTTCTGTTGTGTAACATCTATGTTTTGAGGTACACAGTGTGACCCAAGGTACTGGTAAGCTGTTTGTAACTTATTCAGTGAAGTGCAGAGACAGGATCAAGGCTGACTGATGATTCTTGTGTAGATTATTCAGTTGGTTGTAGATACGTGCTGGTAAAGCTTTAAATGTGCCACTCAAGGTTGCTCTGGATCCACAAAGTCTTTTCGTGGAGAAATAGCTCTGTACTAAAGTTATCTTCAGATGACTACGATGAATATTGCCACCTTTCCCCAAATCACCTGCAGTGTTTGCCCCAAAACCTTATGTACTTTTTTTCAAGACATGTGTTTGTCTAATAAAATATATTCTCTGTCTGCAAGTGTTGTCTTGCTTATATATAGGGATAATACCAACTGAAACAGTGCTATTATTTATCAGATAATAGTTCTTAGTATTATGCATCATCGTGAGCATGCTTTTTTTCCATGGTAACTAGAATTGAATGTAATTTTCATTATACATTATTTACATTTCCATTCTTACTTCAGCTGTGTGTGAAGGCTAATCAAGAGAGTTATCTGTTGAATCACTCTCACAATCCAAAGCTCTTTCTCGGTTAATTTACAGGTATTTTCAGGATTTTTAAATAAATGAGTTTGGGTTTTAGTCTCTAAACACAAGATAAACTTTGCAGCATTATGTTTATTTAATTCCACAGGAATCATTGAAACAGGTGAAAATAATTTCAGTCAACAATCCATTAGTCTTTCTGAATGCCAGGAAATTTCATGCTGACCTGATAAAGATAATCCAGAAGGATAGCATGAGCAGCCAGGTACGTGAAGATGTAAATGAGGATATGCTATTTGCTTCATTAATCACAGTGACTGTGTTGAAGATTGTGCTTGCTTTCCTTGCATTTCTTAGAGAACGCAATCAGATACTGAAACAGACATAAAAAGGTAAAATTGAAAATGATTCATTTAGAATAAAATTAATCCTAATCTTAATCAGATTCAGTATGGATTATTTCTTACTATTACTTGAAAATAATATCTTCACTATTTCTGTGTATGATCCTTTAAGAGACATTGAAGCACTGATCCAAAACTCTAAAATTTATGGAAGAACTTATATAACCTCAGATGATGTAAGGCTGGGATTCTAGAAAGACAGAGAGTAGCTACAAATGTGCTTGAATGTGATGTGATTTTTTTCCTATACATGAGTCCATGAGAGATAGACACTTCATTTCTAACTATAAGTAAATTCTGGAGAATTGGGAAGAAGTTACAAAGTGGTAAATTTTCTCAAAGGTAGTATTTCTTTTTCATTTTTTGCACTGATTGTATTGCAAAAATAAACAGTATACAAATTATGTATAACACTTTTTTTTGAAAAAAATCCCTATAAATATAGTATTTTCCAAGTTTATCTGCATATGATTACTGCAACTTCCCGCAACACTTCCTAAAAGGGAAAAAATTAAATTATCATTTGTCTATCAGTACAATGAAGACATTTCAATACTATGCAATGCTTGCTGTAGAAAATTTCATCCAGTTTGGTAAACTGGGCTGAGCAAATCACAGGCATGTCTTAGATAGGTTGTTAAGACAGCAATATGTGTCTACCACCTCTACTGTCCCTTGACAAAGAGTTGTGCTACTGATGTGCACTTTAATAGGTGGAAATTTAGGATTCAGCTCAGAAAATGTGATGCTTTTTATGCTTGGTTCTGCTAGGCTAACTGATTTGGATTGGTATGATAACAAACCTCCAAAGAGAGAGAAATCACTTAGGATGTGCATGGAATTAATATATGAGTTAATTTAATAAGTGTAATAAGTTAATTTAATAAGTTAATTTATACATTACTTAGGAGGGAGATTTTATCCTTTGTCTCTTCTGTAAGGTACTTGGCAGTACAGTTGCCTGAAGTAAATGCATAAATTTTTTTTGTAATTTTTTTTTTGGTGGAATAAATGTCTTTCTGTAGGACATAATGGATGTGGAAAAAAAATGCAGTTTGGATTTTGTCTCTGTGCTCTAGTTCTGGCTTCAGCTCCTATTTCTACTGAGAACTTATACATATTGAAATAATTTTTATAAAAACTCTCCAAATAAAGATAATTTTTAATAAATTTGCATATAAAAATGTTCTTACTAAAATATTAGCATAGCAGATGAGATTGCAGCAAGTTAATCTCATAAAATCACCTATCTTTTCAAGAACATCTTTCCCATCTTTTTAAAGAAAAGCAAAATATCAATTTGAGTATGTATCTCAGTATTCTTCTAAGGTTATACCAGAAAATAATATATATTCAATAGGGTGCTGGATAGAACATGACTTCAGAGAGAATGAGTTAACTTTGATATTGAGAAACAGAATTCATATGCATTGCATTGATTTTCTCTGGTTACTGTGCACTGAACTAGTTTTCCTTGGTGTGTTATTAGTTTGTTGCTTTTATTTCAGTGTGAGCAGAACACATTGCTCTGTCCATTTTCCAATGGAAGTTGTCATGGTGAGTTATCCATAAATTACATTAAAACCAAGATGGATGTAAGTGTGCAAAATGGCTCCACATTTTTCTATATATTTCTAGATGAACTCAAGTTGTATGGAAACTAATATTTTCAGTTAGACCAAACATTCAAGGAAACATGAATGCTAAATCGTATTAAACTCTTAACTTTGGTCTAACAATTCCTGTTTCTCATTTTGTTTTTGACTGACTTTCAGATTTCAAAAGTAGGGTACCCATGAAAGCACCTTTTCTGTGGGAGTGGAAGTTTATAGTGGAGGACTCATTGCCCATGGCAGTGGGGTTGGAACTAGATGATCCTTAAGGTCCCTTCCAACCCAAACCATTCTGTGTTTCTGGGAGTGCCTGCTCATTTCACAGGAACAACTGTGAGCATAATGAGCCAGGTAAGCAGCAGGGGAAACACTTTCCATGTTGCTGCCTGCACTGATCTTCAGATCAGGCCCAGGAGGCTGTTTTGCTCAGCTCTGGTCATGTTTTTTTCCATTCACAGAGTTGAATACTAGTATGGAAAAGTAAAAATACGATAAGATTTTAACCATGTTAAATCTGTGTGATCTTTAAATCCACATAGGAGAAAATCACAGAAAATGTCAACTGAATTATCAGTGACACGATGACTACCCATATTGCACAGTATATCAATACAGTATAGAATAAAGAAAAAACCTAGGAGTTTGCTTTCAATTAAGGATTAAGCTGGATAATTCCACTCTTCCCACATTTTATAACATTTAAATCAAACCAGAGCACTCGCATTCTCATGGGAGAGCTGCAGCAACCTTTTGCAGAAGATACTTTATACAGATGATTTAATTTTGGATTGAATTAAAACACTGTGTTTATTTAAAATGCTTATAAGCATTAAGGTTGGAGCAGATAATCTGTTTGGGAGGCTGTTGTCTGAATTTCTGCATTTATTAACCAGACTCATGACATTTTTATGATGCTACAGTGTTTAGTTTACTTGGGACTGACAGAGTGCTTTGATGTAGCATAGCAACCTGTAATAATGGCTGCCAAAGACTATATTGTATTGTATTGACTATACTGTAAAATTCTATGTGTGAGATGATCTTGCCAGAATGTATTTCAGTTGTCTTGAAGATAAACTGGTTTCTCACATTACAGAAGTGACAGACAGTATAAAATCTCTTTTCTGAAAGCCTAAGTACTAACTTGAGGACTTAAATGCTCTGTTGTTACTTGTACCAACCAGCCTATGGTGATTCTTTGTGGGGCCTTTAAAATAAAAAGCAGGGAGAAAAAAAAGAAAAATACCCGTAAAGAGAAAAACAAAATGTGGAGTTTAAATTTTCAGGAAGGAGGAGAGGAAGAGGACTCAAACCTTAATCCTCATGGCAGTTGCCCTGGAAAGCATGGCAACTTACATCTTTGTCATAAGGAAAAATAGAATCTTTCCTTTCTCCTTTTGGGGAGTACTGTCTGTATCAGCACCAAATGAAACAGTTGCTCTTGCACTGGTCCAAAGAGGGAGCAGGTGTGTACCTATCCCTCCATTTAGAAGCCAGGCAGCCTATAATGCAATGCATCAGGAATTATTACACTGAACAGCCTAGCAGATCTCATAAATCCTTTCTAGGTTTCTATCACAATAATGTCAGACAGGAAGTTCCCTTTAAAATTCTGTATTTTTGTTTGGTATGTATCTGTTGTTGTATGTTGGACAGTGCAAAGACAGTAAATCTCTGGAGATGCAAGTCCAAAAGGCTCTGGCTCTCAGACTACTGTCGCAAAGGAATTATCACCACTGTAAATTTGCATCATGGTGAAATTCTAATTCCCCTCAATAGTTTAAAATCTTTACCTCTGCTCTACCAATGTCATTTAGCTTAACTCATCTTTACATCCAGAATTCCTTTTCTTCATCTTTTTTTTTTTGAGTTGTGTGCATTATGATAACAAACATTTGTTCACAGAATAATGTAAATAAGATGTGCATTATTTTCTAGTTTTCCCTTTATGAAAGCCAGGAATCATTTATCTGTGTGCTGGTTCAGGATGCATTTAGAACAGAGTGTGTTTAGATTAAACACAAGGTGGCCTGAAGTTGAAGAATAAGACCTTTGCAAATCTTGCCAACATAATTTTTTTCTCCAGCAAAAATACGTGATAGCATATTAAAAAATTAACCAAACAAAAGCCAGCACAGTAAAACCTTAGGAAAATGAAACACTCCACTTTACATATTCTTCTTCCTTATGGGTGAATATTAAGTTAAGGCTTAGGCAGGTTTTTAGGTACTATAGAAATCAATGTCATATTAGAACTTAAAAGAGAGTTATATTTTCTATGTATCCCCTGAAAAATCTTCCAAACAAGCCAAGTTATTATCATGACTCAATTAGAAATTCAAATTTGAAGAAACAACTGTTTAATTCTTGAGATACTATGCTATCTAAAACATCTCATTAATAATATGTTCTGCCTGTCATCACTTCATCCCATTGCTCTAAAAGTCCTTCATTTGTGCTTCTAAAATGTGCCATTTGCTTGCTTGATACCCCAGTACATACCCCAGTAAAATTTTTATTGTGATAATTTGGCCTTATTTTGTTGAGCTATCATTACTCTTATATCCAGTTCTTGACTATTCTCTCTTTTAATTAAAGTTTTTCATTTATCCAATGTGCAGGTGAATCTGTGCAGTCATGTCACAGTGAGAGATGTGTTTTGATATTAGACTGCAGTGGACTGAATTTCTTTGACTACACTGGAGTCTCAGTGCTTCTTCAGGTATTCATGATACCAGAAAAATTCTGTATATATTATAATTACACATATGAGTTATTGGGGGAAACTACTTCACCTATATCAATGGACAAACATGTGATTCATGGAAAGGATGAACATAGATCTGGTTTTAAACTGCACTGTGTTTATATATAAAATTGCATTAAAATATTTATAAATATTATGGGTAACAGTACAAATGTACATATCTGCATGAAAGGAAGATGTTTTTCTGAACTTTTTTTTTTTAGTTTTTTTGTTTGTTTGTTTGTTTGTTTTTTTAGTTTTAAAGTTGTTTTAGAGCATATTTGACCCTGTCATGTCAGTTGCCATGGAGCTATGTATAGATTTACCCCTTTAAAATTCCAGGTTTTAATTCTGTGATTTTATGTGTATGTCCTGCTTTCTGCTAAGCCAGAGGTCAAAACACGACCTCCATGTTTTCCTCCTGTGGGTGACATATCCAACAACTGGGTTCAGGCATTGCCAGAGCTCCAAGGTGCTCCCAGAGGACTAGAATCATAGAATCATAGAATCGATTGGGTTGGAAAAGACCTTCGAGATCATCGAGTTCAACCCTTGGTCCAAATCCAGTCCATTTACTAGATCATGGCACTCAGTGCCACGTCCAATCTGCATTTAATAATCTCCAGGGATGGTGAATCCACCATCTCTCTGGGCAGCCCATTCCAATGCCTGATCACTCTCTCTGTAAAGAATTTTCTCCTGATATCCAACTTAAATTTCCCCTGGTGGAGCTTAAGCCCGTGCCCCCTTGTCCTATTGTTGAGTGCCTGAGAGAAGAGACCAACCCCTACCTGGCTAGAACTTCCCTTCAGGTAGTTTTAGACGGTGATGAGGTCACCTCTGAGCCTCCTCTTCTCCAGGCTAAACAACCCCAGCTCCCTCAGCCTCTCCCCATAGGACTTGTGCTCCAGTCCCTTCACCAGCCTTGTTGCTCTTCTCTGGACCTGCTCCAGCACCTCAATATCCTTTCTGAACTGAGGGGCCCAGAACTGAACACAATACTCAAGGTGTGGCCTCACCAACGCAGAGTACAGGGGAAGGATCACTTCCCTGGTCCTGCTGGCCACGCTATTTTTGATACAGGACAAGATCCCATTGGCCTTCTTGGCTACCTGGGCACACTGTTGGCTCATGTTGAGCTTCCTGTCAATTAGTATCCCCAGGTCCCTTTCTGCCTGAAAACTGGTAATCACTGGTTACTGTGGTGAATGGAACTAAACCCAGATGGCTGCTGGCCACAGTTGAGGTTCCCCAGAACCAGTACTGGGCCCAGTCCTGTTTAATATCTTTATTGATGATTTGGACGAGAGGATCAAGTGCACCCTCAAGAAGTTTGCAGAGAACACCAAGTCGGGCGTGTTGATCTGCTGAAGGGTAGGAAGGTTCTGCAGAGGGGTCTGGACAGGCTGGATTGATGGACCAGGGCCAACGGTGTGAGGTTCAGAAAGGCCAGCTGCTGGGGTCTGCACTTGGCCACAACAAACCCATGCAGCGCTACAGGCTGGGGGCAGAGTGGCTGGAAAGACATGGCTTAGCAGTGGACTTGGCAGTGCCTGTTTAATGGCTGGACTCATTGATCTTAAGGGTCCTTTCCAAACTAAACAATTCTATGCATAAAAAGAAGTTCTATATAGCGGATGAAAAATTATGTTCAAAAGCTGTTCCTTACATTTCCATCAGGTCTGGAGTTTAAAAGTTGTGTAGTGAGTACAGAGTTAAATGGGTATGCAAGGTTTGGTTTGCATAATTTTTCTGAGTAAGACAGAAGACTAGATTTGAACTTGGGTCTCAGCCCACGCCTTTTCTTATCCTAACCATTTTTTCAATTTTTTCAGTTACTTCACTTACTCATTGTACAGTGAAGTAAGTGTTGCCTTAAAAGATTTGAAATTAAAACTACACATAGGGATATAGTAAAAAAGAGAACTGGAAAAATAAGGTTAGTGGGAGTTATTCTTTATTACACATCCCTTCAAAGCACAGGGCATTCAATAAAGTATTAATTAAGAAAAAATTGTGAAACTTATTTCCAAAAGATCTTAGAGACCTCTGAACTACAAATTATGTCAAAGAAGTGTTTGACAAATTTGTGGGAGGTAAGTCTGACATGGGCTGCGAAGTGCACAAGTTGGGAGTGAAACCTCTGGATGAATGGCTGGTCCTAAACTGAATTACTCAGAGAAGAACACACTCAACATGTCCTTGTTGTTACACTCCTCCCAAAATGTCATCACTGATGCCAGAGATAAAGGCATTTTTGGACTGAGTATGGCTTTCGGTTTATTTTTAAAAATAGGGTATTCTGATGGGCTTCTCACTGAATCTCGTCTTCCAGAACTTTTCCACTTTATATAGATTATTTAAACATTTTTTTTAATGCAAGAACTGCTTTGAACATTCCTCATCTGGCAGAAAAAGGCTTTACTCTGGTTTTAGAGTCATTTTCACTTTTTTTTTTTTCTCTTTTACTTTCTCTCTTATTCAACATTTGGTCTCTGTGGAGTTGACCATTTTCAAAGAAAGTATAAAGAACAACTTAATGCAGAATGTAGCATGATGGTTATGGTGCTTTTCTGATAAACTCATGAAGTGTCAGAGTTTCCTAGGTCTGATTTCTTTTTGTGTGGACTGGTAGGTAAGCATATGGCAAGGAGATGGAAACAGGAGATCTGGAAATAACCCCCTCAAAAATTATAGTAAAAAATGAAAAATTGTTAATCAAATTCAGTTTTAATTCTTGGCAGAGCTGTAGCGTACTGTGAAGAGGGGGTAGGAAATCAGTGTGGGTTGGTGGTGTTTGCATAATAGAAGGGCTCACTCTGGTGGCTGCTGGCAGTACAGCCGCTACAGCAGCATTCCAGGCGCTTTGCCTGCCTTGGATATAGGCTTTTTGTGTATTTTACTGTCTGTTTAAACAGGTTCTTTTTTTTTTAATTTCGTGTTTTCACACATTTAGATTTACATGGACTGTAAGAACAGACACATCAATGTGTTGCTAGCACACTGCAAAGGCAAGTATCATCTTACAGCAAAAATTTTAATTTGATGGTTTATATATCCTCACTATTTTATCAGTGCTCATGAGTTTGTTTTATTGCAGCTTCCTTGATAAAAGCAATGCAGTACGGTGGATATCTTGAATCTGAGAATCCTGTCTTTTTTGAATCTATTTCTTCAGCAATTGATGCCATTCAAATTCACAGGGTAAGACTTACAAGCAGGGGTAAGTGAAGTGTCAAGGGCTTCTTGGATGCTCACAGCAATTTGTTAAAGTCTGGGAAAGTCTTATTTACCCACTGAAACTTTTGGGCAGAAATCTTTTATCTATCTATTCTCTACAACTGGTCATCAACCTCACAATGCAGTTACCCAGTTTTTTGCTGCTAGCACTCTCTTCACGCCACCATCTCTTTTTTTGCAATGTGTTCTCAATCTCCTATGCTAGATCCAGAGGTACGGTGTTAAGGTGCATTAATCTGGGCACATTCTCCACTTATGTCTCTAGAAACACCTAACACAGCCTCTCAGTGAGGCAAATTAACTCACACCCAGTTCTGCATTACTGACACTACTATCCCTCCTGGGTTGCTTGAAGCTACTTCACACAACACCACTCTGGTCTGACTGAGACCCTTCTGGATCCCCAGCAAGTTTGGTTTGAGCTACAAAGCTTGTCTCTGCCTTGCACTGTAGCATGCCGTGCAGGCTCTCTGGTGGAAGGAGGGGAGAGGAATTGCACGAGGTGGAAGAGAGAGCTAGAGAGAGAAGAAAGGCTTGGCTCAGAAATTGAGGCTTGAGGCTTGAACACGCATTGACTTGAGCATATATTTACTTGCTCAATGATTCTTGCATTCCTTATTAAAAATATTGTAAACCTGGGCTTTCCTCATAAACTATGTGATCCTTTTCCATTGTAATGCCAGTGTAACCGAGTGTGCATTGCAAGTAGTGTGCTTTCCCATGGTTTTATTTATGATTCCAAACATGGCTGGAGCTTGGCTCAAGCCTTCTCCAAGAGACATTAAACTCATCATGGTCTGTGGTTTGGTTGTTTGGGTTTTCCTTAATTTTTTATTTTACTAATTAAATTTGAGTTGCCTATGAAAAAAAAAACCACTTTCCATTGATTTATCCAGATTAAATTGAGTTGGCACAGTTGGTCTAGTGGATTGACCAGAAAAACATGGTCTTTTCAGCTCTTTCCAACATTATTAATTATGTTGCCCTGCAAAAAATAATTTACTGAAATGGTAACTGCAGGGCAAAATAAAAGAGATGGCTATTGTATGTTTTGTCTGGGTCTGATTAGGTGATTTAGAATGAACGTTGTGTCATAAAATGCCTGTATTTTTATTGACATTAATTAACTTTCCTAAGATTCTTTTAAGATGGCTATGCACTAGCATTCTCATTGTATGGCAAAGGCACATAGATAGACCAAACATTCAAAGTGAAAAGGGGGAATTACAGCTCAGAAATCCACTTTTCTAGGAACTGACCACATGTTTCTACCAGAGCTGCTAGGCAACTCAAACTTCGGCATAGTGGCTTAGCAGTTTAGTCTGAAAGGCTTGCATCCAGCCTCAAAATTTAAATGTAATTATGAACAGTGTATATATGCTGCTAATGTTTCTTCAAAGTATTCAAAGTATGAGCTTCAGAGGATTTTATGTGTTTATTGTGTTTAACACCTGGGGAGGGGAATGAAAAGGCAGGGTGACCACAATAGCAGCACCACACTGTAACTACCAGTCTGTCTATATACTCCTCCTGTGACTTTTTAAGATGCTGAGGTCAGTAGGACTTTTGACTGTTTACATTAAGGAGTAGGCAGGATAGAAAAAAATAGGAGGAAGGAGTTGGAGACTAATAGAAAGTGATTCATTCCAACTTACATTTCAGCTTCCCACCACAGAAAGGAATAGTCTTTCACTGTCAGAAAGGTAGAGGCAAGAGGGCTTCATGGTTCATTTCCAACTCTGACTCTGTTCAGAAATGCAAAGATGCTCTTACCTACATCCTCCAATGATAAGGTTGTGTCATTTTAATTTTTATGTTTATAAATTGATAAGAAACTTGCCTGTTGCTTTATGCAGTTCATTCTAATCATAAATAAATTTTTGGAATATTAATCTTTATAGTGGTGGCATTTTCAAGCTAGCACTCCATCTGCTAATTTTACATTATATTCTCAGAAAACTTTATAATACTTTTTTTTCTGTGTCTCTCGATTTAGAATTACAGCAAGTACAGTGAACAGAGTGAAGTGTGATGCCCACTCATTGAGTATGGCTAGTTTCATCTGCTCATATTCAGAATGAACTACACCATGGTTTCTCCTTAGGTTTTTTTCACCAGTGGATCTCATAGATGACCTTTTGTATGCCATATATATTTAGTACATTCAGTAATGATTGATCTACCATTCAGAAAGAAAGTCTTTCAGCTGCTATCACTCAGAGAATGTTCATGCAATTGTTCTATAGTGGTTTTATATCATATTTTTATATCTAGATAAAAATTACATTTAGATAAAAATTATTAAGAAGTAGACATGAGGTACTGACTGTGTTTACCAGTCAGATATATTCTTTTAGATATCTTTTATCATACCATTAGTTGTAATGTGCCTCTGTAGTTTTGTGTATGAAATAGAGACATTTTGAATTCTTAAAAGAGTATGTTATCATTGATAGAGTACATGCAGAGTATACCAATGCATACTGTTTCTAATGTCTTTACTTACCCTTCCTTCTGTTCAAGACAGCCATTTGCTGTGACAGCATCATATCACAGCTATCATATGCTTCCATTTTTCATTCTTGTCTTTGTATACTTTTTAATGCCTGCCCAGGTCCATGGGAAAACTGTGTATACAGAGAAGGCAGTTGCATGTTGATTAAGTGCCCCTTATATTGTCCCCCTCCTCTAGTAGTTGTCATGAGTTATAAGCTGCTACATTTTCAAAGCCACAGGTGTTGTTTAGCTCAAACTGAAGAGGAAAAACTTTTTCTTGTTTCCAGCATAGAATAGTCTTTATTTCCAGTTTGACCTGTGATTTGTTTGATATTGAAATCTTCAGTTATGGCAACTGAGAGATGACAGTGGAGACACATAAAGTGTGAGCCACATTTCAGCCCTAATCCTGATTAGGGATGTGCAGTACTGTGTGTGAACACACAAAGTGGATGGAGGAATTCACAGGTTGAGTATTTGGTTTGTATTTGTAGATTGTCAGCAATCATACTAGATTATACTAGCACATCAGTATCATGTTATATGGCAACACATTGAGGCCTTCCAGTACCTGAAGGGAGCCTACAAGAAACATGCGGAGAGAGTATTTACAAAAGCATGTAATGACAGAAGGGGGATGGCTTCAAATCAAAAGAGAGTAAGTTTAGCTGAGACATTAGAAAAAAATTCTTTACTGTGCAGGTGGAGAGACACTGGAACAGGTTGCCCAGAGAAGCTGTGGATGTCCTAGGCCTGGAAGTGTTCAAGGCAAGGTTGGATGGAGCTGTTAGCAATTTGTTCTAGTGAAAGGTGTCCCTGCCCATGGCAGGGTGTTGTAACTAGATGATCTGTAAGCTCCCTTCCAACCCAACCATTCTATGATACTACGTACAACTTTTTTGCTCTTGCCTTTGTTGCCATATGTGAACACCAGCAATAAAATGCGAGCTGAACAAAAAGGAATCAAAAAATGAGAAAGGATGAGGTAGTAGGATTTTTTTTCTCACTGACTTAAAAAATGTATTGAAGCTAACTGCCCTAATGGCCATCTTAGCACTACAGAGAGGAGGGAAGTACAAGAGTGCTTTGTGCAGCTTGAGTCTAGAGGAAAAATCCAGTGCTGTGTTCTGTTTTCAGCAGCAGTTACATATGTATGCTTGTCTGGGCCATCCTTGCTCTGTCTGCCCAAAGCTGCTGCCTGAAGGAGATGAGGTGGCTCATGGAGTGACTTTCATGTCCCTGCATATAGTTGTGTTAAGACATTGATAAGCTTTTCTTCTAGTCTTGATAATTACACACTGCTAGATGACAATGGGAGAGAGCCATGGGGTTTTTTGCCTTTTCAGTTATGAGTAACTCTTGGAGTTATTCCCCACTTTATCTCACAGATGACCAGAAACGTTCTGTACATATTCTTCTGAAACTGCTTTCATAATTACTATGCAAAAGGTTGATAAATAACTGTGAGAAGCTCATTATACACAGAAGAAATAAATTCCATATATTGTCCCAAGTGCATTAATTTCAGATGCTGTAGTTGATTGCAAATGACTCATTACATCATTGGACTCAGTAACAGGCTATAACATTTGATTAATAATTTCCTCAAACAGTTTTAGTAATTTATTAACACTTTAGAAACTATTTACAATGTACTTTAATTGTAGAAGCATCAATTTTATGTCATGGCTGAATGGAGATTTCTACTTAACTGCGAACTGAATAAATGAATAAATGGTATCTTTTCTACTAAGTTCAGCATTTATTCTTTGGTGGGTAAATGTTTTTTTCTGAAGATGTACAGATAAGTTGATTAATGAAATTGTTAAAAATAAGGTCTTTAGCAAAGATAACATCTACCAGGAGACTTTCAGTTTTGTTCTGAATGATCTTTTAAATGGAACAACACAGATACTTTTAAAATTCCTTGTAGTGTTAGCCCTTGATGAAACCCTCTGCATCAAATGATCAATTTTGTAGTGCTTATCAAAATTACTTCCCATTTCTACTGCTTTCAATAGGAATAAATTTTCCACAGTTAAATGGCTGGTTTGGGATGGACATTTATCTCCCATTAGCTCAAAGATCTTCTAGTGACACAGTGTCATTTTTAAAAGTGTTTCACCAGTGTAAGACTTCAAATTCAAAATGTCTTAATGCTGTGATTACTGCTTGATTGTCTCTCAGGGCAGAATCAGGGATGAAATATATTTTTTCCCTTAAAACATTTAATCATAACTCTGAATTTCCTAACCTTCCAACTCTGGGCTTTTGGATACTAGTAATATTTCTGTAATATATTTGACCATACATAATTAGCCTAAATAAGCTACCATTTCTGAGAGTATGTACTGTTAATCAGATTCCCTTTCTGGCAAGTGGCATTCCTTAGGATAGTTGTTTCTCAGCAGAACAGAGACTCATGAAGATAGCTGCCATTTCAACTGCTTCTAAAACATCTGTGTTGAGTTTAGGCCTTGTAAAACTGCTCCATGAGCAGCCAGTGGCGGAGGATCATTTCTCTTTTGCTATTGACCTTGAAGGGCAAATTACTTCACTACTGATACAGTTTCCATTTCTCCACAACCCACCCCTCTGAACTCTTGAAGTTTACTGAAACTGTGCTTGCACATGGCCTGTCTTCAAACCACCAGGATGAGATGCCATCAGACCTCATGCACCTCATGGACTGCCAGATCACCAGTTGCTCTACTGGTGGGATGGGAATTGCTTCGTGTCCTCCCTGAGCTGCTCTCTGCAAATCTCCGGTGATGGTGTATTTGTGCCACTGAGTCAACTGACAAACAACTGGTTAATTCTTTGGGGAAGATTTAAGGAAACACCCTAAACCCTCTAGGTTAAGTTTTGGAGGCAATTTCAACTATCACTTTAAACCCTTCCCTCAATGGTTCTTTGTACAGCCTGTCCACTAGCTTCCCTCTGGCTCTCAGGAAAAATTATTATGTAAATATATAGAAACCAAACCCAAAACATCACAATTAGCTTCACTAGAGCAGAATGGAATGGAATGAAATAGAATAGAGTAACATTTGAAAGAAAACAACAGTGATCATCTAGTCCAACTGCCATTATTATAAAATGATAGAATGTTATAAATAGAATATACCATATTTATTCTTCTGATCCAGAAGGGTGAAATGAGTCAAACTCACCCTGTAGGATAGAGCCTGCTATCCACACGGAGGGGAATTAAAGTCAATAAAATAAGGAGTTTAGTTATTGTACCCTCCTGAGGCAGACACTGATCTTTGTACCTTCAGCTTTATTTACTTGAACATCCTTAGGGAGTTTTCAGAATAATACGAAGTTTTATTAACTGTGCTTACGTATGTGAGCTTATGCAGCGTTAGCAATAAGAGCAAAGTGTGGAGGTCTCACTGCTCTTACTGATTTCTAAAAGTGCAAGAGATAGACTGCATATGCCAGCAGAGGCTCAGTGAAGTCTCTCATTTACAAACAAGTTTTAACTAATGAAACCAATGAATTTACTACTCTGAGTAGTAAGCAAGTCTGAAAACCTAACCATTCACTTTGATTCCCGTATGTATACTTATACCAATATGCTCAGGTTTTACATTTCTAAATTCAAAATGTATCAATCACCTAGCTTATGGAAATCAATGCTTCAATATTCTGCATTTCATAGGAGAACTTTAATATAAGATTGCTTTCCAGAGACGGCTTGATGTGTTTAGGAATTTTTAGCTATTTTTAGGAATTAATCTAAATTTTAAATAGTACCTCATGTTAATGGGAAGTTTTCCACAATATTTAAGTTTTGCTAATCAGAATATATTAAAATGGGGATCTAATCAGATGCTTCTTACAGAATTTGTGTTTCACACATTCCAAAACAAAGTGAGCAATGAGGAAAAAAATAGAGTGCAAACTGATGTTAAGAAATGAATATAGTGGCAATTAAAAATTTTAAAAAATTAGGCATAAAATATGTAATAAGGAAAAGACTGTTAACATTATATTTATGCAAATTAAATGTTTCTAATTCTCATCATATGTCTTTCATTTTAAAGGTTATTTGTCCTGATTCTATGATTCAAGTGTCACAAGGTCTGGCTGTAGCTGCTTTGACATAATTTATTTGACAGCTCTGTGTGTCATAAATATATAATGTAACAAGGAAAGGTATCTTCACTGTTGAATGAAAACATTAATGCGTCAATACTGGGTTTGAATGCTGTTTGACATTTACTAGTTACAAAAATAAAATATACAGTATGCCTTGAAAATATGGTAGTCCTATTTTTGGAAGCTATTTCTTTGTCTACAGAAACTAGTGTGTCATAAATAAATGGAGTGCAGTTCCAGAGTGCATGCTAAATGGTGCTTTCATCATTAAGATAGATTTTTAGTAAAGATCACCTAATCTGTATGTTTCCATATGTTTTACAATGCAATTAATAATTTTTTCTTGTTCAATTCTGTGTATTAGCATATGCAACAATAAATTTATACTGAAATAAATTGGAATATGAGACAATTTCCATGTAGAAGGAAGAAAATGCCCTCATTATTTCCATTAGCACCTTTTTAAAAAAACCAAACAAACCTGTACTAACCAATCTGTAATGTATGTTGCCTTCTCCAACCTTGCAAAGTATTAAATCTTCATAATCAAAGAAGAGAAACTGCCTTACATTCAGAAGTTTGACTTCCTCACAGCTCTTACGGGAGTATGGCATCTAACAGACATTTTTACCTCTTTAAGACATAGAGAAGTCTTGGGCCATTTTTTCCAATATTGCCTCCTTGCACGCGCTGTTGCTTGAATATGTCTTTTTTAATTGTCATTTGCATATACAGATGGTGCACCTCATATCCAATTTGCACATACTGATGGTATTGCTTATATACAGTCTGTGGCTTATCCCAGTAGAGAGGAAATGATGGGTAAACCCTCCTACCACCTCT